CTCACTGAACTTTCATTCTCAGGTGTTGGAGCCGACCTCAAGAAAGAAATAGACCCTCTATTTCGGAACGGATTCCCATATGTTCTTTCCGGAGAACCGGCTCAGATTGGGAAAAGAGCGTAAGGCTGCCAGTAACTAGAGAAAGCCTGATAAGAGCTGACACCTCTTTAGCTTCACTTTCAACCTGACACTCGGAGTTCAAGACTTTCCGAAGATCTTCCATAGCATTATTTGGGGAACCCGTCAGCTTAGATGGGATGTAAGTTTAGAAGTATCGATATGGTCTCTGTGTAGATGCTCACCCAGTCGATAGATATTCGAGGACGGATGGACCGAAAGTGATTGGACATATCCGCTAGTCGCTGGCGAGAATGGGTACATAGGATCGGGCGCATATTGGGCAGGCTCCGGCCAAGCACCATTCTTTGACCTCAGCCGATGGGACCCCGACGACACGCTATCGTATCCAAAGGTTGAACAGCCCCGGGGCAGCGGCAACTCCGAGAACTGGTGGTTTGGGAAGCTTGCGAATGGCAGTCAGATTGCATTGGGTAATTACACGTAAGTCACATTTGTCACCACCTTGTTCTTTTGCAAAAGAGACTCACACACGACTTTGGCAGACTTCGGTATGCTGCTCTCAAGCCTTTTGGTGATCCCGGCCAGTCTGAGGATTGGGCTACTTTCACGACACCTTTGGGGGTCCTTGGACAGTATTGAAAGAGATGAGTATATATGACAGGCACGCGCGTAGTTGATGAAGGGATGGTTGCCAGTATATAATACCGCAGTGTTATATGGTGTCCTACATATGTCCCAAACTGACCAGCGACGTTTACCCCTAAGTGAGAATAATTCGGCGACAAATGCGGTTTTAATGCTGCCCGAATTGTTCTTCCGTTCGCATTTGCAACAACGAAATGGGGTCGATCACCTCAGCAGGAAATTCTAGGAGCTCAACTGCATGTGAATGTGATTCAACCTGAACTAGTATCTCAGGCTCCTGAATAATCTGGAGATTGTATCGCGTGTACTTTTGAGCAACCTTTTGCCAATTGTGTATGATGCTGGGTTCCATATGCAGATTCCAGGTTCCTTTCCAACTAACAGAGGTTGAACCGGATTCCGCACAGTAAATGAATTTGCATGCTTCACTCTGAACACTGTTCCACAGCGTCATAGTATGGAGACAAGGCATTGATAGCGCAGCTGCAGCAGCACTCTTCAAAGTGCTCGCTATTACATCTGGGTGATTAGTTTGTGTGAGCGTTCTTGTTGTAAGACAAAGCAGACTCAAATGCTCCCAAATCCACTCTTGCTGACATGACTGAAAGAAGTCGTTCGAGTCAATCAAGAATGCAACTGAGAGCTTCTCGAAGTCGAGGCTCCTCTTTGCAAAGATACAACCAAGAATTGGCAGGTCGGATCGCCAAACGCCAGACGTGAGAGGTTTCAACCAACGGTGCGCCTTCGAGATGCATTTGTCTGTGTTCTCGAAGATTGAGACACGCTTGAGTGATCGTGGCAAATGATACTTGATGGTATCGAGATCTGAGGAGGCAAGAATTAGTACATGTCCACTAGAAATTAATAATAGCTGTCCAAACTTACAGCTGTCATAGAAGCCTTCTAACATCACTAACGATCTCTGCCAGGGTTCATAGACAACTGATTGTAACCGCGGAAGCCTATTGAATAGATATCCTAGAGCTTTAGGATCAATCTGTCTTCGGCACTGTCGACGGAATATGAATTTGGTAACTGCCTTTACCAGAGGGACGTCGTCCTGGGAAGAGAAAGACAACGGTCGCAGTTCAAAGATCCTTTGACACTCTCCAAAGGTAGATGCATCCATCTGGCGACCATTCACCCAACCGTGGTTGGCGTCATCCCATGGATGGTTAGCATTGACAGTGAGCCAATCCTGAACAGAGCTGCTTGAATGAAGCTCCTCATTTTTACCGTGACCCCCAAAGTAAAGGTTCTTGAAGCGATGCTGCCTGTCGCTCGGAGACTGGATGCTCAATTCCAGTGACAACTCGGCTCCTTCGACAACCGGCCACTGAGCAAGTATAGAAAACAATCTCCCGATTGCGTTTCTAACAGAGTTTCGGTTGTGTTCCATTTCTGTGCTGGTTTCCATGCGGTCACAATCTCGACATGTATACTGCGGCAACTCAATATTAAGCCAAACCTGTCTGGTTAGCTTTGCTTGTCTGGGGCCGACGATGGCCTAGTTTCAGTCGACGGAAGCTTTCCTTTTCCAGAATGTTCTGCCATTCCTTATTCACTGTTGCGCAGGCACCCCAGCCGGATGTTTGTTGCGTAAGAAACTCAAGAATTAACTGTCGAAGCTCCAGCGGAAGAGACGTCCAATTTGTTGGTTGTACGGGGCCTGTGCCCCCAGACACGAAGGCCGAAATGAGAGACGAAACCATCTCCACTGGCGCAAAAGTTCTCGAGGATTTATCGGCACTTGAGGTTTCACACGATGGAAACGCTGAGTGATCAGAGCAGTTGGAAACAGGGACGAAAATTTCAAGGGGGACTATAAAAAGAAAATTTCTACTTTGCTAGGTCATCGGTTCCGAAAAGAGAACCTTGGCAGGTTTTGGTGCCACTCACGACCTGTGTGGTTGAGCTTCAACCTCTGTAGTTAGTACGATAGTTAGCGTGCGTTTTCAATTGGAGGAGATGACAAGTTACGAGGTTTATGATGCTTCATTATCTAGTCCTGCATTCAAGGGAGCTTCAGAGCTTGACAACCTGGTCTACTTTCGCGCTTACATACACCGACTCCAAAATGCGCAAGACCTCTCTGGCCTGAAGTGCGGATACTGGAACCATGTCCTCATTCCCAGACCAGACTGCCTCCGCAAATCCTTGGTACAAAGCGCCATAGTTTTGGCTACGCACAGAGGGGTGACTGAGCTCTTCAATTGTGCCGTCCTTGCGGACGATAACCAGCCGCCCCTCACTGCCCGCCCTCTCAATACCAAAGTTTGAACTTGTTGGTAGCAGACCAGATTCTAGTTGAGCTTCTTGTGGATCCATGCCATCCTTCTTGTAAGATGCCTTGGTGCCACGGATCCAAAAGTGGCGTTGTGGTGACTCGACGCTCATGTCGCTGATTCGTATGTTGACAATCATGCCATCTGCATAATTCAGTTGCGCATGGACGCTATCATGGTGCATAAGATATAGACATCCCCGTTTCTGGTTCAAAAGGCGCCCATAGACTGAGCTTGGTAAGCCAAACAGGGTGTAAGCCTGGTCGATCAGGTGTGAACCAAGATCAAACAGAGCACCGCCTCCATCGGTCGTGCTCAGCTGTCCTCTCCAAGACTCTGCGGACTCTGGCCGATAGTAGTCGAAGTGGGTGTCGATCTCATGAATCCGACCGAAGGCACCATCTTGAACAAGCTTCTGGACGGTGAGAAAGTCGCTGTCAAATCGCCTGTTTTGATACACACAAACAAGCCGGCCAACGTCTGAAGCTAATCTCATGAGATGGTCTGCATCTTCGAGCCTTGAGACGAACGGCTTCTCAACCAAGATATGCTTCCGGGCGTTGAGGCACAGCTTCGCTAGGTCGTAATGTGTGTTCGGTGGAGTCGTGATAACGGCCATATCGCATGATGAATCCTCGACAAGCTGTTCGGCGGAAATATAGTGTTTAACTTCGGGATGGTGAGTAGGAGCTGAGGATTGAGGAGTTGGGTGCCGTTGGACTATCGCCTGCAATTCAAGCGACGGCAAAGTTCGAATGAACGAGATGTGAAATACTTTGGCGGCGAATCTACCGCAAGTCAGCGTCCTTGCTCGCAGCTTGCTAAGGTCTTGTTTCCCATGGTGCAGGGCAGAAATACCCATATCCAACGACGCCGACACGCAATGGCTTGTCAGTCGAGGAAGAGAATTCCATCATGCTGCGTATGGTTCCCCGCGAACGGAAACACCGCAAATTTGGTCTCCTTTCAAGAGGGATGGTTTTGACGAAAGGCAATTCTCTTGTTGTCGCTTCTATCGTTTTACAGAACGGCCCGATGAACAACCTACGGCGATCTATGGGAGTTAGGCTTGAGGCCGTGGTTTAAATGATGCGATCGGAGAATATTTCCTACCACAGCGAACACAAAACGAGCAAGTTGGCTTTTCATTACGACTGTTTGGCTACCTAGCTTGTTGGCCTTGGTGAGACGCACCCCTGAGCGAGGACGGAGGCACTTCAGAGTGCTCACGCCTGGCGATTTCCTGACACGGGAACATTTCAAATAGTACTCGCCGATTGATATCCTATTGCGGATTCTTTCTCATGCTCGGCACGGCCAAGACGTATGCTCGGGATTTGATTCTGGGCATACCGCATATTTCCGGTTGAAATGGGAACGGCGGCATAGGGCGCCGGCTAAGGCGTGCTCGTATATGAAGGCTTAGGTGGGGGTAGGTGTGCTGGAATGCCGATCTAGGGCCAAGAATGTTCCGGTATGGCTCGAATTCTTCGCTCAAGTGCTACCTCGGCCTGTATAGAGGATCCTGTCATTAAGGGTTCATGCTGCTCAGACTTCCGAGTACTAAACCGGATAGTGTCTCCGACAGCCAACGTAAAGAAGCATTTGCCATCCATGGGAAAAGGAATGCATAGTTCTAATTTACCTGGCCAAGAACAATAACTTACCTTCCATTTTGAATGTAGTTCTTGTAGTAGATACTGCCTAAAGGAATTGGGCGTTGTGACTTCATGAGGCTTGTTGTTAGAGAAGACAGAAAGAACAAAGCTGCCTGCAATAATAAGTAGCATGAGGGGAGAAGCCTAGGTACAGCTTAAACAAGCCAGAGATAATCAGAAGTTCAATAAGCAAGCTCTTCATCTGGGTGGACAACTTTGTCAAGAGAAATCCCTATCTAGTACAGCCATCACCCATTGATGCACGCTGTGTGAATGATCCTAGTTGCGGCAAAATTGGGTGGCTGTATTGAAAGATTGACTTGAAGGTTGACTACAATTGAGCATAATCGACACGTTTCCCTATTCCATCGAACAAGATCTTTTTCCCCGTCCTCATAGATTCTTGCAGAGCCACACCAACTTTCACAACTTCTACAGCAGACTGAAGCTCAATCAGAGGCTGTCCATCATCAAGAATACCAGCTGTGAAGTTAATCGCTTGGACGACGAAGGCATCGTGGAACCTCTCCCAATAGTTCTGAGGCATCTCATGGAATATGCCCCCGTTTTGGTAGAGTTGCACCTTATTGATGCTCGGTTGTTGGTTCACCACGAGTTTGCCCTTGGTGCCGATAATCTCAGTGGAGTCTTCTGCACCACCCGACATTGTCCGAGATGCAAACAGCGACACCATCCCGCCATCATGAAACTCCAATGTGCCGATTGCGTTGTCGGCGTCCTTGAAATTCTGGAGCTGTGGGTAACATGCGGCAGTTCCAATGGCGTGAACCGACTTGATCTTGGAATCTTTCCCAAAGAACCAAACCGCAAGGTCAATATCGTGGATGCTGGCGTCAGGAAATATTCCCCCGGAGACCGCGGCATATGACACAAACCCGCCAGTCGGATCAAAGAGGTCGCAACTCTGGCACCTCATTATGATAGGTTTGCCTATGAGCCCTTGTTGTACCTTATGGTAGGCATCTCTGTACGAATCATCAGAGCGACGGGAAAACCCACACACGACCTTGAGGCCAGGTCTCTCTGCAGCAGTGTCTACCACTGACTGACACTAATTCGAAGTAAATATTGGCAAGGCCGTCTTGTTGTTGAGGAACTCTCACCTCTTCCACGTTGGTTGACAGCGGCTTCTCGCAGAGCACGTGCTTTCCAGCCATGATGGCCTGCCTAGACTGAGGCACGTGTGCGGATGTCGCCGAGGCAATGCATACAGCATCCAAGCTTTCATGATCAAGCATGTCCTCATACTCTCCATATGCTCCGACCCTATGTGGTGAAAGATTCAAATTCGCCCATTCTCTTTCGCCGGAATCTGGGCTGGACACCGCAACTAGTTGCGCTCGTGGCACTTGTTGCAAGAATATGAGAGCGTGCCGTTTTCCTATACGACCGAGGCCTGCAACGCCGACATGGAGCCGACGAGTTGTCATGGTTCATCCAAAGCGGTGAGAGGAAGGGGTTGGAAGATGTGGTTAGAGTGTAGGTCTAGAGAAAGATACAATAGGTACAGATGTCTCCTTCAACAGACTTATATCCTAGAACTTCGAGAATCTCGGGTATACATGGAATCGAATACATTTCCGTGGATTCACCTTTAGACTGGGCCAGTGGCAGGTGGAGAACATGTCTTCCTCAAGTCGACACCGGATAAGCTGCAGCATCATCGTGCCAATCTAGGTGTTCCCAAAGGAATTCCGCGGGAATTATTACTCGCTTAACTCCAGATTTGACGTGCAAGACCTGGGTGAACAATGAAGCATCCTTTTCCGAAAGACCATCGGGACTTTTAGCTGCATTCTTCTTTCCCCGCCCTCCGCAAGAGACCGACGAGAGGATCGCCGGTGTGACCCCCACGTATACTCCGGCGAAAGATTACCTCTTTCATCTAGCAACAATGTCAGCTGAGATAGCCCATGGATAACTGGCCCGGCATGTCTGGGGTCTTTATGCACATTTGCAGCCAAGATGTTTTGCCGGTCGTTGTTCGGGATTTTCCCCGCGTTCTCCCCATCTTTTCCCCAGATCCAGACTTGCGAGTCAAGAAACTGCTGGCCGCTGATAGGCTAGTAATTTTACTGGCCGCATGTCAAGACAATCGACTTCAAGAAGTTATAAAACCCAGGCGGTGATTGCTTTTAGGTACTTATATGCTTGAGTCCCCATGAACACTTCCACGTCTCCCATTGAGCGACTCCAACAATAGAGTTGTTCCTAGCTGTCATTCTTCCATAACACTCATCTCCATTTCAGCCTTGTCCAAGGTGCTATTCAGGGAACAACACGATGCATCTTGCAGACTCGTCACACAACTCTCCCACTAAGAAACCAGGGGAAGAATCCACCTTCGCCGCGGAGCATAAAGAAGATGTGGCTGAGATATTCGACGAGGTCATTTCATACGGACCGCCTGGTAAGTATTATTGCGTCATAAATGGTCAACGGCTAAGGACTGACGACTTCCAAGGCTTCAAGGGCGTGTTCGCATCTCGATTTGTCACTTACTGTGCTGCGTTTGCGGCCCTCGGAGGGTTCTTGTTTGGCTATGACCAAGGCGGCAAGTGATAGAAATCAGCAAAGTACTTTTCGCTTCTATTAACCGACCACTCATAGTTATCTCTGTGACACTTGTAATGAGAGAGTTCCTGGATCGCTTTCCCGAGGTGTCAGATGATGCAGCAGGTTCAGGTTTCAAGAAGGGCCTGATAACTGCTATGATTCCTCTTGGTGCTTTTATCGGAGCTCTCAATATGGGCTGGCTTGCCGACTGGATCTCCCGAAAACGATCTCTGATGGTTGCCGTGGTCATATTTATTGTAGGATCCTCGATTCAGACCGCAGCGATCAACTACGATATCCTCACTGCCGGGCGCTTCTTTGGCGGAGTCGGGATTGGAATGTGAGTTTCAAGAGATAATGTTGTAGAGTTCTAAGCTAATTCTGTCACAAAAAGGCTTTCGATGGTTGTGCCTGTCTATATCTCCGAGATCTCACCTCCAGAGATTCGCGGAACACTTCTGGTTTTCGAAGAACTGTCAATTGTCATGGGAATTATTGTCGCCTTTTGGATCACGGTAAGTGGATTGTTGCACTTTCCGTTTCAGATAGCCAAGATTATTAACTGAGTTCTAGTACGCGACCAAAGACATTCCGAATCATTGGTCATGGCAGTGTCCCTTCCTCATTCAAATCATCCCTGGAGTTTTGTTGGGCATTGGTGCGATCTTTCTGCCATACTCGCCCCGGTGGCTTGCCTCCAAAGATCGACACGAGGAGTCACTGGCTACATTAGCCAGACTCAGAGGTCTCCCGCAAGAAGACCCCCGTGTCCGTCGGGAATGGACCGACATCGTTGCCGAAGCTCGTTTCCAAGCCATGGTATTGAAAGAGCGGCACCCAAGGCTTACAGCAAGCCCGGCTATTTCAGATAAGATCAAACTGGAGGTTGTGTCCTGGACAGACTGCTTCAAAACCGGATGTTGGCACCGTACTCATGTCGGAGTTTGCATTCAAGCATGGCAACAATGGGTTGGAATCAATGCGCTCATATACTACAGCCCCACGTTGTTTGCAACCATAGGTCTAGACTATAACATGCAGCTTCTCATGTCTGGCGCTCTGAACTGCGTTCAGCTCATAGGAGTCCTGAGCAGTCTTTGGACACTGGACCGATTCGGAAGAAGGAACATCCTCCTGCTTGGTAGCGTCTGCATGTGTCTCTCCCATATAGTTATCGCTATCCTTGTGGGGAAGTTCTCCCACGATTGGCCGAGCTATGTTACAGAGGGTTGGGTCAGCGTGGCGTTCTTGTTTGCGTTCATGCTGAGCTTCGGCTCCTCATGGGTAAGTCGAGCTTTAGCCTCAGACCCTTCATGCTGTACAACAATGACTGATGAAGACACAGGGACCAATTCCATGGGCATTGCCATCTGAAGTCTTCCCCTCTTCTCTCCGAGCCAAAGGCGTTGCGATTTCGACTTGTGGTAGTAAGTTGGACCATACAGCAATCAATCTGATACCTGTCTACTGACATTTATGAAGGCTGGCTATGGAATTTTATCATAGGTCTCATTACGCCTCCCTTGATTAAGGGAACTGGGTTTGGGACATATGTGTTCTTTGCGACATTCTGCCTTGGCTCTCTGCTTTGGACCTACTTCTGCGTGCCGGAGACAAATGGTAGAACCCTTGAAGAAATGGATAAGGTCTTTCATGACCGCACGGGAGCTTCTGATATAGAGATAAAAAACCGAATTCTTCAAGAGTTCATAGAAGAGCAGAGGGGATCTGGCCTGAGACAGGACATCTGAAATGGAGGCTTCAAGCCGGGCTACAATCCATCTAATGGCAATGCTATGAACGGCGGCAACAACGAAGTCAATAGGACCAGTCTACCACATGGGTATCAATGGGCGGCCATTGAAGATTGCAAATAGACTGCACAGTCTGTTTCAGTTTCGGGGGCGATGTGTCAGGTCTAGCATCATTTGGCTGAATCTCAACCTGACAGTGCGGCAATTTGTCAAGACTACCTAGAATGGCCCTCTATACACCTTTTACGTAGATCCCCTTTTGGACTCCGCAGGCTGTCACTTGCAATCATGGAAAACAACTGGTTACCTTCAATCATGTCAATGTCGGGCGCATGGCTGAACTTCACTACTCACATTCTGTGACTCGTGAGGTAGTACGATACTTGCGAGACTGTCTTGCTGCTTGCAATCTCACTCTTCCGGCATCCTACGAGGCCCTGATCATTTGACGACGAGTCAGATGTTTGGTGAGCTATCCACTAGTCATCCCCCGCCATCCAGCTTCGGAAGCCGAAGGAGCGCATCGGGCCGTGGTCTGATTGACCGAGATGACCCTAAGCAGAAGCCATCCTGGGCTTTATTCGAGCACCCGGACTTAATCGTCAAAAGCTGACATTTTTGGAGATTGCATGACTACTTAGCCCTAGTCTCGGGCAGAATTCCGCAGTTCTGGTCTGGGTCAACGTGGACAAAGTTGAGGGTCGCTGCGAATCAGGAGACGAAAACCTTCGAGAGTCGTGTCTGTCACAGCATCCAAAGTGTGCCCCCTCGTGTATTGTCAAGAACGACTGGTGCTTGGCTCTTTCCACTTACGGACAGCGTCCTCGTGGAAATGGTTTAGACCGTTGTAGCATCAGGGAATATGTTTCTCCCAAGCACACCCAGGTCCCAGGGTAATAAACAAGATGGCTGCAATGTCATTGCCGACCCATCACTTAATCCACTTCCCGTGGATAGAAAACAATGATCATCCATGATACCCCGACTTCTTGGCGACTCTAAATGACTCCATGGGGCACCGGTGAAACCCGGGACAATCTTTTGGATGATCTAGAACATGGGCTGACACCCGGGGAACTAAAAGTGTGCAAAGCTTCGTGTGCGATCTGAGATCGTCCCAAATACGATTTGATTACCAAATCGGTATTGGGCGCACATAAATTTGACTTCACGGACCCGGGGAATCAAGTCGGAGTACTATGCTCCGTTACTCAGCCGACCCGAAAACGAGCCGAACAGCTCTTATCCTTGACGATAGCTTGAGCTTGCTGTAATGCGTGTCCTCTGCCCACACACAGAGACTTACTGCTCCAGACCTTGGGAATGATGATGATACCAACAGACCATTGGAACCTTCTATAGTTATTTGCATAATCGACATTAAGGGGTATATGAAATACACGAGTCCGCCCAGACGCTGAAACGCTGATACTATTTATGATCGACAACCAACATGGCTGAAAAGTGTCACAGCTTTCGACAAACAAAACGCTGGCTGTACCGACATGTTGATCCCAGCAGATCGAATTGCCTCAATACCTCTCGACAATGCATGCCCGACCCAGCTCTCAAATACTTCCGACGCTATGAGCTCGTTCCTTGTCAATACTCTCAATCGACTGTGCCCTTCCGCCATGCTTCTTCAAATTCGGGTGACCGTCCATTTCGATCACAACCGTCGTTACGGTCTCCATCTGAATTCCTTCTGTTGCCCCGCGCCTCCGTAGTGACTCTTGGCTGATACTTCTGTGTGCGCCACTCCGACGGTGACCATCCCTCATCACACCCCGGCCGCTTCCCCTGCGGAACAGCTTCCGTAGCCAACCGCCGGTGCCCTCATCCCCGTTTGATACGTGTTGGGGTTGACCGTCTCCGCCCTGGACCCAGACCATATTTCCGTACCTGCGGTTCGCTGGAGTACGCATGAACGCAAATGTTTCGATGCCAGTCTCCTCGTAGTCTGGCGAGGCGTTGAAGATAATAACGTGACGGGTCGTGGAAAAGAGAAGCACGTCAAGCCAGCCATTAGAGGCAATCATTGAGCCAGCCAGACAGAAGTACTCCAGGGAGACTGACCTGCCCGACATGGTTATGACACGACCCATGGCCAAGGGCGCAGTACAAAGGATATAGATGATGGGGTAAATCAAGAAAGCCGGGTGGTGGCCGGCGCTGCTAGATGATGTGGCGGGGCCTTGCTGCCCAGACGAAGTTTTGGGACGACTAGGTTGAGATACTGTAGAAATGGTGTGTGCATGACCGCGCTCGCGGCCACGGGTGGTCTTCGAGGCGGAGGAGTTGTTGGAGGAGGAGGGGAGCTGAAGGGAAGGGTCGGTGCGGCGGATGTGGTTGAAGATAAGTATGTAAAGGACCGCCGTGACGAAGAAAGAGACGAACATCCAAAGGTAGTGGAGGTATAGACGCATGGCCTCATAACGGACGTTGACCCAGCACTGGAGTAGGAGTCAGTCGGGAAGTTGACGGGTTTGTGTTGATGATACATACCCAGGCAGCAGCGCGAACATAAAGACCTCCGTCATCAGCGCCATTGTTGGTGATGATTACACCCGCTACAGCCAGAGCGTAAACAAAGAACCAAACGAAGAAAATGATGCTGTAAAAGAGCCATGTCGGAAGCTTGTACTCTCTGACAACGGCCAAGTACGTATGGACAGCGATGGTGGTGATGAAGGCACTGGACGCCAGGTCGCCAGTAGAGATGAACCACCCTTGAGCCCAACAGGTCGAGGTCTCAACAATGATGCCATCCTTAGTCAACCAGGCTGCGTTCAGCAAGAATGCGAGGGCTTGTTGGATATCAGCCAACAGGAGGTTGTAGATGAGCACTAGAAACTGGTTGGGTGCGACCCGTTTTGTCTTGTTCTTCTTCCGGCTGCCGGCATAGACCGTGTCCGGCAGACCCATCTCCTCCGCAAGGGCTGCATCCGGGTTCCGCTCCCCCGTCATATGCTCCGGCGTTTCGGGGGCTGGCGAAAGGTACCATGACACCAGTCGGTACGTCAGAACAAAGAAGAGCGCTGTCGTCGTGAGGAATGAGAGGAAGCCGAAGAAAGAAACAGCCGTCAGCCCGTGTCGAAGTACGCTGGGAAGTGGCGTCAGAGTCTGGCTGCTGGGGTCCATTGTATTGGCGCGCGGAGGTGGAAGCGCCGGGTGGCGCGCGAGACAGGCGGCGTGGGTTCAACTCGTCGACAGCCGCCTACCTTAGCGATGAACTTGTCATCCAGACCAGTGGTTTGGATGATGACAGACTGAGCTGTCGTGATATCGTGACACCGTCAATACCGGAGAATGACGAGTTCATCCCAAAAGCTACATCTGGGCAGAAAGTGGCTGCAAGCCAGATCATAAATGATCTCAGAAAGCGATGGTCCGGCCCAGAACCTAAGCCTACGGATACGGAGGCCAAGGTTGACGATCGTCGGGACCCTGTCCCTGGATGCAAAGTCCCTCACTTCTAAGTGGATGGAGAAAAGAAGGCAGGTCACCAAATCCATGATGGGATTTGGTTCTGCAGATGACTGACTAGCAGGGGATTTGAACCATGTCGGCATGGATGAGTTCCGTACGTAGCGCTCATGAGGAATCATATGGGAAGGGGTCTTGTGGGTCCCTTTTGCCCAAAAGAAGAGACAAACCCGTGAGATCGGTCGTCTTCCCCATCGCAGATAAACCCATGTGTAAAATCAAAGACAAGTGAAGGAAATGGGGGAAATGAGGGGCGATTTGCGTTCGCCCGTCTGGGGAAAGTGTTCCTGTGGGTGATGTTTCATCCGCAAATGTTAACCTCAACTGCCAGCTGCTGTAAGCTTTCCATGACATCCGTCACCCATGTTGTCATTTCAATCATCGCCAGTGAAGTCATTGCGAGGCGAACTACAAATACCACGTTGAGGCCGAGACTTCTTCAAAATAAGAAAGGATGGGCATTGCAGTCGCTCAACACGGCCGTAGAGGCTGGACTCTTCCACGGCCATCACTCACATCTCATTTCCCAAGGGATAATGAGTGAAGGCTTTGCTCAAGACAGGGCCCTGCCACGAGGGCTGGCTGAGCTAACGCTTGGCGAACTGATGCTAGCAACACTAGCCAAACCTTAGCTGAGCGCCACTGCACGCTGTGATTGGAGAATTTTACATCGTGGTCAGGGGCAGCTTTGCTCCCTTTGGAGTGTTGGGCGTCATGAGGAACCCGCCAGCATGAATCTGACATCGGACTGTTGCTCAAAGTCCCATAGTTGGGCTGTATTCATGGTGCGATAATCGAAAGCCTAGAATCTTTCTTGTGGGGTCATCACTGTTGCCTGTTGCTGTTGAATCCACTGTCTTTTACGCAATCGCGGACAGGGTTTTGTCTCCTCTTTACTGCGTCTTCAGCTCTGTTCCTGGAAGCCCACGTTGTGGGCTCTGACGCTAGGCCGAAGCTGGTCAGCTTTAACGAGAATGCGACGCGCCAGGCCTGGAATGTGGCGTCTAACAGTTTCTTAGCTCACCACGCGAGCTCGCAACCATCTGGTCTAGGCTGTTTCGGAATGTTCTCTCCTCGCTCATAGCATCGTCTTAGCACGAGTGAAAATCGCAATTTTCAACGTTGGAGCTAAGAGACGCAAGAAATTTCTGTGGTCGGATTACGAACATCTCGGCCGTTTTGCAGGCCTTCAACGTGTCTGACCGGGGATCTCTCCGAGGCTTGCGGCCATAGCTCCGGCTCTTCTGCTGTTGGCTTGTGTCAAACTGTCTATCAATCAGGCGGGTGGCGGCGCCACTTCACCGATCATCTCGCATTCTGCCGAAATGTCAAATCTGATCGATCAATGACTGCTGAAGAAAAAGAAACGCGGTGGGCTGTTGGTTGCTTCCAGGCTAGCCTCACTCATCATTCGTTGCCCGCCATTTTCTCATACACAACCCAGCCCAGTCACAGATTTTGATGAGCAGCACGATCCAATCTGCTGTCTTCACATGATTGGATCGTAAACGCAGACAGTTGTCATGACTTCGAATCACCGGGCGGGGCCGCTTACACGATCGATGAGAGTGGATCCATAATGTGGTGTTGAAGACAGCTGAGGAGATCCAGTACGGCCGTAAGAGCCTCTTCTGCAACGCTGCATCCTTGAACAACAGGCCCTGAATCTTCAGCAACTCAGAAGTCGAATCATGTTTGCATCGTGAGCTTCTCCGTACTCCAGGATACCGGTAGATGCGACGCAGGTGCTAGCCTGGCACGGGCATGTTTTCATGGCTCTCGGTTGGGAGAGAGAAATTATCGCAAGGGGCCTCACTCAGATAGAAGAAGCACGGCGAATTGGTGACCGCTTCTTCCCCTGTAAATGTCCCCTTAGCAAGGCGCTTGCAGGAACACGCAGGGCACGAGAGGCACACGCAGGGCAAAGCGAGCAGGCTTCGGCTCTTCGCAATCAAAGCTTAGACCGAGTTGCGTTAGCTCTGAGACTTTAGCGTCCAGCCGCACTGCAGGGGACGTACCCGACGGAACCGAATTCTGCTGCTCGCGATGCCGCCCACCAAGAGCTGTGCTGACGGGCAGAAAGTCTCCACCCAGACCCGGGTCGGCCTGCTGTGCTCCGTCTCGGGATGCCGACCCGACTGCCCGCGCCGCAGACTTCCCCGCCGGGTTCACTTTCCCTCTCGACGGTGAAAAGTTAAAAAGGCCTAAGATGCCCCCGGCAGATGCTCCGAACACTTGAGCAGAAATCCGAACTTTTGTTAGACTTGGTCGCACTCAAGCGGTCCGAGCCATTAGTTGCGCTTCTTAAGGGGTGTAGAGTTCGACGAGGACGAAAAGGGCAACAAGATGGACCATTTCCAAAAGGGTAAGTAGATTGTCCACTTGCAAAATTCGAAACCACTCAGGTTCTCTACATGCAAAGCACGTGTTCAGTCTGTCGAGCCAATGTTTTGCGTCCAGCTTAGCAGTCTGAGGTTTGGCACAGTCTCGCAGCTCAGACGACTGGGCGGTCGGTGACCTCCAGTCCTGTGGTTAAAGCTATGCAAGATAGGATCCCGCGTGGGGTTCAGAGCAGCGGGGGAACCAGCTTATATGATTTATGGCACCTGTGGTTTCAATTTTACTTTCGACAATCGTCATCGAAGCCATCACGTGTGTTCATGGTGGATTTGCTTAGGCTTGATAAGTGCACTATTTCCATACGTTTCGACCCTGCTCTTGATCATTCGGTAGAATCTATCTGTAAACGCGCTACGACTAAAGTCTCCATGTCACAGGCTAGGTATCACACGCTTGCTAGTCAGACAGAAAGCTGTGCGCTCCCAACGAGATTCCAACCATGATCAATGACCTCAACGAACCGGTTAGGTCGGACCTCTAAAACGGCATGGAATATCCGCGACAAGGGCATATGGGCATCAAAATTGCACTCAAAGTCTGACTGGGAGGGGTAAAAGAGAATATCGGGTCTCGTGCCTGGTAGTATCGGGGCAGGCGAATGTTTTTTTGACTCACCACGTGCTTGTCGATGTGTGAATTAGTCGACTGGGATGGCACAGGGTTCAAACTCCGCTACCTTTCATAGGGCTGGACGAGATAGCTTAGAGAATCGAATGATCTTCAAGAGGGTGTCTAGAATGTGTGGTTGGGTGGGGTGCAGGACTGTAAAAAGGGCTTCCCCGGCACTCGACGATGTAAGGAGTACGGTGTTAGCGTGACGTGTCCATGGGGATCCGATTTGCCGGTTTTCACGGTAGATGATTACCTTTGACCAAAACAGACTTCTCACTATTTTATCTACTAAGGTATGCAGTATAATTGGGCCGGGCGGTCTGTCAGAGATCCCTTCTGGAATTCAGCCGGTCCGGGCTGAAAAAGGAAGGCTCGGGCTGAGGTTTCCCCAAGCTCAAAGTCTTGAGGCGTTGTGGCTGGCTTTCAAACTCAAACAGACCTCCAAACTTTGGCCACCAAGCCTGTGACCAAACCGGGTCATTTCTCCCGCGGTTGAATTGCTCGGCACGAAGTTTTGGGAGGCTAGTGGTCCGATGTATTTCCAGAACATTCAGAACGACAGAGTTAAGATCGAGAAAGTCCGGATTGTGCTGTTCGAGAGTGTTTGCACGAGGGAAAGGAACACGCAAAGTTGACAGCAACAAGTCTGAGCTTCATCGGCACTGTGCCGGATCTCCATTCTGCAACAGCAAATTTCTATGAGCACAGTGGCCTTTGAACACAGCTGGATAGTAATATCTCCGGACTTCTTGGCTTCACATACAGCCGGGTTACTCATCTTGTCCGCTCAGGGGGCTGAAGTGGCTGGGTTGCATTATTCAAGGATATGCTGCCATCCAGCTCGGATACTGAGACTGACAGCGAAGTTGCGTTGGTACTGGTCGTTTGAATAAGGGTCGGGGTTGCGGATCACTCCTTTAGACTTCCCGTCTGTTATCTAAGCAAAAAGGGTTGGGGTTCGTGACCATGAACTTCTGAGGCGCAAATCATGCCTTGATGCCCCTAAGCATCGAAGACATTTTGAAGACCCGGCAGGCAATAGCAAGTCTCTATTCATGGTTCATTTTATACAATGAGATGCATGTTCTTTGTTGCCGCTGAAGTTGTGATCCCATCGAGGTACTCACGTAACGTCAGTCTAATACTGCGCGAAAGAAGTTGGATTTGCTGCTCGGGAGAATCCGAGAATCGTGATATGCTGCAGCTCATAAAACCGGGAACCACCGAGTTGTGAGTTGGAATCCAGCCTTAAAATTATTACGAAGCCTCCTACCCGAGCAGAAAACCCTGTTTCGTGACCACGACGCCGCTAAAAAGGGCCGTTGAAGTCTGAAAGGAATCCCTGCGGAGAGAAGGCCGCCCCCGCTTAGTTCAGCACACCACGAAAAGGGAGCTATGACAGTCTCGTATGAGATCAGCCCTGTGGCTTTGTTTCGCCCCTCCCGCAACGCAGAGGCCCGATGGGTGCCTAGTCGAGCGTTCAACCGGGTGGGATAAAGTTTATCAAATACTGGAGATTCCCGAAAGGCTGGAAAGTTCAAGAGACGTGCGCACGAGCTTAAGGGTGTGCAAGCATTCGCTCAAAAGCTCGCTGGAAATCAGAGCGCGATCATCGCGTGGATACGCGGACTCCCACCATCGTGAGGGCATTGGCGAAACAGAATAGCTACCACACGAGGACGAGTCTTGGTGTTGCGACTCCAGAGTCATTTGTGACACCTCACACGTGTTGAGCTTAACGATTCATTATCAGCAGCTGTAGAATGGATATAGGGCAGAAATATTGCCAGCACCTCCGCCTTCACCGGGAATGATCCGCCTCCGTGGGAAATGGCTGGCATAATCAGCATCGACCTATACTGCATGTCTTATGAAGCTTGCGCACACATCGGCCCAAGTCTTATTGGCAGCTCGCAAGCTACGGCAATGCAACACTCTGCCTGCCGGCAAAAACGACTCCTGCGGTTTGACCCTATGATTCTAGCTGTCAAAATGCCAATTACGCCTCGTCTGATAATGTGCCGGCCGGACGATGATAATGAGATCTGCCCAATGTGGAGTGCCCATCCGAACTCTCAACCAGACGAGCCGTTTTCGGCACCCCCCAGGCAGACCAAACGGGATCCCGAGTCGTTACGGGCGTCGTAGGGCGACCTAGCGCAAAAGCTTATATCAAGAGGGTTGGTGGTCTAGAATAGGCTTGTGGGCGGCCCCGAGGAACACACAGGGCAGAGCTGGGGGTGGAAAGCTTCTGATAATCTATCGGCTCCTCATGCCGAGATGCACTTACATATACCGTCCGTCTGGGCTGATATTCTTCAGTCGAAAAGGAATTTGCTTCTCATCAGCATGACAGACCACTGATCACCCAGCTCCGGAGCCGATTCGACAGAAGTCTACAATTGGGGTGACTTCTATGTTGGTGGACCTGGACACCGATCCCACCGAGAATATTCTGAGATATGATGCTGCCAACGTCTGCTACGGCACATGGTAGTACGGCGGACACGCAATCGACGAAGGCTCAATTTGAGCAGGTTCTCAGCCTGATTATCACGACAATCCTAACCGCCTTTCTCGGGAACCTGTTGCGTAAGCTGTGCCTCTGCGGCGAAAACAGGATTGCGATCTGATTTATTGGGTGTAGGTCAAGAATGGTTCGCTGTCAAGTACTGGCGCCCTCTACCATGGGCAAGACAATGTGAGTTGGACGGCGCAAAAGGGACCGGGTTCATCGAAGCTAACAGTACTATAGTAATTCTTCTAATTTACCTGTCCGCATTTCTCTTTGTGTTTGCATCCTGGACAGTTCAGATTGTATTTGAAGCGGGGATTAGTATGAGCGCTATGGGTTGTTCCATGGCTGGAACACTGTGTCTAGGCGCTTACGTGGGAACAAAAGTGAGTCCATCTGTTACCTCTTATGAAGTGTCATCTAATAACTATTCAGGCAGTGAGTGACACGATCCAAGGCGAGTGTACCCAAATATTGACAATCGAGTCCCTAGCTTGTTTATCTCTTTACTGTTGAGAAAGCGGTACGTTGTCAGCTCTTTCCTCCACGTCTTTGCTACTTGCTCATTCTTGCTCAGCATATCATCCGGGGAGCGACCAAGGCACGCCACAGATCTAAGCTGTACACATGCAACACTATTCTCATGCTAGGTATGGTTTTCACTCTTGCAATGTCGTGGATTGAATCATCTAATGGATTTGACGAGCAGGTACATACGGCTTCATTACGATGTTCAATTTTCACTTGTAAGTACCTGTACCCCGACGCCGCAACAGATCTATCTTCAGTACTCACACCCTTTCCAGCCGCGCGTCATATTATGATTCAGCAAGCGACACATGCGTCATCGGCCTCGAGCGAGCAATTTTGATACTCATCATTGTTTTTGATGCTCTCGTCAACGTATGAAGCTTTTCTGCCCTTGACTCCGCTCAACACCAAGCTTATGTACGCCCCGCAGATTTACCTCACCTCCCTCTTCCTGATCCCATTACTCAGTAAGTTGCTGCTCGGCAGACCCCCGCTTCAATACTTCCAAAGCTTACGCAATCAGAGTTGCATTCTATCCAAGCATCAATACTGAGGCCATGGACGATGGGCTCAAACCACAGGCATCCCCGGACTCCACCGAACGTCCGGCTTCGCAGGCTAGCACTGCGCACTTTCCTTGGCGCTCTGCTCACCTTGACCGTCAGCTTGACGTAAGACTGCTCTTGCAAATACCTCTCGCGAACTACTCACTGATCTTGCAGAAACCTATCGGTGCTGGTCGCACTTGGCGGGGAAGTGGTATGGCTGTGTCTTGCATGTTGCAACACCGATAGTAAGTTGAAACGTCACGAAGTCTGAGACTTCCAAAAACTCAAAATCACTAACCTCAACCAAGTTCTCATCACAGCATTTCTAATTCAATGGACAAACACAAGTCCGAAGAAAGTCGCGAAGGAGACCCCAAACGTTGAGGCTCAGCCCATGCCAGACTTGACGCCGGAGCTGAAAGATAGTTGAGGGGCCTGTTACTACCCGAAGAAAACAGATTATGGCGCACGGCAAGGAGGCCTACTGACTGGGGGTAGACGGGTGGCCTCTGTGCACAGGAGGGACGGTAACGGAGGACCTGCCGCAAGCGGCATCCAAAAGTACATAGCATCGCCAAGCTGCAGAACGCGAGGCGAAGCGGAAGCATTAGCATTGAGCCAGCGAAGCCGTCTATTGAAGCATCCGTTACCAAATATACAAAGTCTTCATCAATCTGAAAAAAAACATAAATATTTCTCTACGTTCGTTGAGCTCAAGAGGCTGTGGTTACTTCAAAATATTTGAACACGCGAGATTCGTTGGGTACCCAGATGCAATTGCATCGATCCAAAGTCTTCGCATCGTGAAGTCTGATAAAATATCAAATGATATCGAAAAGATTCATTTCGCCCCTATCGCGAATATCATCATCATGTTGCCAGATCCCGAGCCTCCGGAGAAAGAAAAATGTGAATCTCGGCCGACGGACTATCCAAGATGTCCAGGATTTCTAGTATTGTCCGGATATCGAAACACCCAGCACGTCGTTAAAGTTTTCTCTCATTGTTGTAATTGTGCCGACTAGATCGAACCCTCTATTGTAGTTGTTTCGGAGTTCAATCAGGGGTAGGCCGTGAACGGGGAGAGCAACATGGATCTCAGCGAGATCTGGCCGATCCGAACACTTATGAGAGGCAACGTGGCGGATCGTACGATAAGGCAGAATCGGCGCGGTCCAGGTCGAGCTTTGTGTCGTATTAAGCGTCGTATGAGTCGCCCTTGGCCAGTCCAAGCGTCCCGCCCGTCGTCGTGGTACACCCCTCGTCCTTGATCAACTAGGAAGTTCTCCACGAGAGGTGGGAATCCTTAGTTTCTGGGTCTGTTCTGGTTTCGAGAGCGTCTAATCACGCTGCACCCTATGAATAACTCTATGTATAGGTGACAGAAGCAAGAGGGGATCAGCGAAAGCTTGCACGGGGTATTGTTTTGCATCTCAGATAACTTGAATATGGTCATGTCATGCGTCTTTTTTGCTCATCAAAGATCACATCGTCTTGGGCAGTTCCTCTGAGATCGAGTCTCCCCGTGTCGGCGACAAGGGGAATGAGTCGTGAATTAGGGGTCTAAAGGACGTCAAGGAACCCTTCGTCAAATTGCGCAGGAAACATTGACCAAAGCCTCGAGATTGTGGAGTCCTTACGAATGTGGGTCATTTCAAGTAGGGTTGTGGGCCGAAAACGGGATCTCTCGTGGTAGCCCTTGACCACGAAGGATGGTCGCTCGGGCCGATTTGGTAGAGGGGATTTGGGATTTCCATCCGTTGCCCTCAGGCGTGATGAAACCAAACGAACACTATGTCTCGTATGACTCACAGCATAGTCAAAGCTCTCTACAGTGAAATGGTAGATGTATCGCTCAATGTAGAGTTATTCTCTTGATGAATCCTCATTTTGTGAACTGAAAGCTGTTGGGGGTATGGCTATCAAGTTGGCTAGCCAAACGCGTAATACTTAGGGTCGGCCGTATTTCCCTACCCATTCTCAAAAACGCCTGAGTGGCATAGTCTACCATATCTATGTTCACCACCGGTTGACCACTCGACCAGAAGAGAGCATCATATATGTTACGAGCATTAATGCTTATAAAACCTTTAGTTTCAGTCCATGGACCGATAAAAGCATACGTACATCATACACGTGGTGATTCACGACAGCAATTGAGGCTAATGGTGCCTCTTAGGTACGGTACTGAACAATTGATGCACTAAAAAACAACGACACGGTCCTCAACTCGCCCTAGATGAGTCTAGTAGGCACCCTTGTCTCTGATTGAAGATACTTGACGGTCATGTCGGGTGGTTTCGACGAAACCACCTCTTACTTACGCATACCCTTGACAGAAAATGTTATTGAACTGATCCAGAAGTTTCACAAGAGTCAGCGTACCTTCATCGGGTTAAATTTCAAAGATGCAGCGTTTGGCATTGGTGAGTATCTAGGTACATGGGGATGTGGGGTGAGGTGATCCATAGCGATCGAGCAATGCCGAACTTGAGCGTACGATTGGCCGCTTAGTGATTTACAACATCGCCGGCCCTACTAGTTGACAGACGCTTGTAACACACGACACTCGCCCGATCGAACGCATTAAGCTGGTGATTCGGCTTATTGCGTGTGAATGCAGTTTCGTTACTATTAAGAATGTAGTCAATTGAAAGTTCCATCTGTACTTAACCCAATCAAGATCTGTGGCTACGAACGTTGGGGGTGATGTGGCAAAAGCATCACCGTTGAGGCTGGGTGGGCTCAGGCCCTCAGCATGCCCCTCACTGAGCAGACTTTGAGACATTGAGCTGGCGACAATGAGGCAAATCAATATAGAGGTCCTGCCAATTTCCTCAATTCTGTCTCCTTTTCCCATTAAAAAGATATCTGCTTTTTGCATAGAGTAATGGTGAACAGTCCCGGAATAATGATGTCGCCTCTCTAAACATAACCAGGTGTTGCTCTCTCTCGGCCGCTAGCTCCCTCGGTCCCGTGCCGTTGCGGGGTAATAAGACAGGCGCCACCCTCATTCATTCCAGGGGGACCCCTCGCCACCAGTGACCTCTGCTGAGCATCTCAATCTCATCGAAGAGACGACAGCACGATCGATAGCATGCGTTTTCCAAAGCTCCCGGCGAGAGCCGCTTACATCCATCTTAACAACCCGGCTCGACGCAATGCCCTGAGCCTCGAGGTCCTCGAGGACCTCCGATCGCAGCTACTGACGAACCTAACTTCACCAAAATCGGGGCGTCTCATGACCCTGCCTCCATTCAAGCCAGGTATCCTCCACGAGCTGGAAAGAGTCAGCGAACGCGCAGCCCCGGACTCAAAAGAAACTTCAGAACACAGCTGGCTGGTCGACGCCAACGCGTGGGCAGAAGAACGCGCAGCCTTTCCCAGCGTCCTCGTGCTGCGCAGCTCAGGCCCAGTCTTCTCCTCCGGCCACGACCTCAAGCAACTCGCATCGCTCTCCCACGCCGAGGTCAAGCGCACCTTCGCCCTCTGCGCCGAAGTCATGTCTCTCATCCGCCACAGCCCTGCGCCGGTTGTCTGCCCGATCCAAGGCTTGGCGACCGCAGCGGGACTCCAGCTCGCCCTCTCCACGGACTACCCAATCGCCCTGTCCACGACCAGGTTTCAACTGCCCGGCGCAAGCATCGGGCTGCCGTGCACGAGCCCCGCCACGGCCGTGTCGCGCCGCATCCCACCGGCGCAGACCTATCGCATGCTTCTGACGGCTGAGGCGGTCACTGCCGACGTGATGCGGGATGCCGTGGACGTGGTCACGGAGCCTGAGCACGCAGAGTCCACTGACACGGCCGCTGCAGCGTTCGAGGGGCGTGTCGCAGAGGTTGTGGAGCGATTGGCGGGCTCGGCAGGTCAGCCGATGGCCTTGGGGAAATGGGCGTTCTGGACCCAGCTCGGCATCAACGGCAAGGAGCAGGACGGGAAGGGTGGTGATGGGTACGAGGATGCAGCGAGCTGGGCGGGGAGAGCCATGGCCTTGCATGCCAGGGCCGCTGATTCGAGAAAGGGCATCGCAGCCTTCACGGAAAAGAGGAAGCCGTCGTGGAAGACATGAGCTCTCACTCCCCGGGCCCTAGAGACCGAAAGCAACAAAAGGCCGGGTCACCCCGAGAGCCTTACCCCACCATCCCCGCTCCGCATCTCCACACCGATCGGCCGGCCCACCGGGCCCCGCACAAAATGAAAAATCTTCACACACAAAAACAAGGAAAAAATGATGCTCGGGCACTCGCAACTCAGGATCCTAATTGACCAACGCGGGTCTCGAACCCGCAGCCTTCAGATCACTGATTCCAGTAGAAGTCTGACGCGCTACCATTGCGCCAGTCGGCCTGTATCCTGAGTTGTTTGTTTCCAAGCTCCTGTGGGGATGCTGACCACAGAACGCAAACAGTGACAAGAGGGTTACACCAAAGAAAACATTGACTCATTCACTCTTTCATGCGCCTGTTTCCAATTGTTGTGTTTTTATTTAACCCATTCCTGTCAAGAATGATTCATCTGTGCCTCTCTTACTGTTTCTGGATATTATTCCAGCGCACATACTCCTTCCTACTAATACCCATCAGTTCGGTGCAGCTATTTGCTGTGAGCATCAAGACCGCCCCAGATTTCGCGTGCTTGCATCCATGGCCATTCCAGGCACCCAAATTAGTCTTGAATTCGCAAAAGAAAGCACTGCAACTCATTTCAGCTCTGATACACCAGCGTAGCTACCAGTCCATGTTTCATCTGTCCGCATGGCAGGATAGCGCACTCCGTGGCGTTGGTGCGACGCCCTCATCGCGCGCCAGCGACGCCACGAATCCATCTCCTTGGTGCAGAAATGAGCAGGGAAATTGAGTGATCCCAGAGGATTGACAACGCAACACTGGATTTTCGGAGAGATTCGTGCGCAGACAGTGGCGGATATAAACCAAAGGCTGCCGCCAAGACAACTGATAGCATGTTCCTCGACCAAGCCCTCCAAGCTCTCCAACTTGTCTTTCGTTCTCTTTCCAACTCACCACATTCTTTTTCAACTTTATTCCAAAATGCTGTTCAAGACCAGCTTCACGTTTTTCCTTCTCTCCTTCGTCGCAGCGCGATCGATCAAGGCCCCTCGTGCCGCTTACCCTTTCAACAACCTCGTCGCATACGGTGATGAGCTTTCCGACAATGGAAACGGTAGCTTCGCTCACGGTATCACCGGAGACCCAGCCAACGTTTATGGCTTCGGCACCTGGACCAACGGCCCGGTCGCCGTCTCGTACCTCGCGGATCTCCTCAAGGTCCCTATGACCGACTATGCCTTTGGCGGCTGCTGCGGCGGTGGCTCTTTCGGCGCGACCTTCGACAACGCCTACACGAAGTCGCCCGCCGGGGCAACAGACATGCTCGGCCAAATCTCGAACTACACTGGCACCGGCTCAAAGGGCATTGTTTCCTCTCTGCAGTTCTTGTGGTTCGGGGAAAACGATCTCAGCATGCACACAGACGCCTTCTGGCTCGGCGACGCCAAAAATGCGCAATTTGCGACTGACGCCGCGGCGAAGATCACGGCTTCAGTCAAAAACCTACTCGACAAGGGAGCGCCGTACGTCATGGTCGCCAACATCTACCCTAAGCACCTCGCCCCTGTTACACCAAAGTACCTCTGCGGCACCAACGCCGACTGCGTCAAGACATGGGGCCAGGTCATCACCTCGGCCAACGCCGCCATCCAGAAGAGCCTGGGCCAGTTTGGGAAGAAGGTCATCTACTACGACGTCTTCAGCTACATGGTGCAGATCCTGAACAACCCGAAGGCCTATGGCTTCCCCAAGCCCTTGAACCTGTTTTGTGACGGTGATGAGACCGCGCAGTGGGACGACTGTATGGTCAAGGGCAATGCAAACCAGTACTTCTGGATGAACTTCATCCAGCCCACCACGGCTGGCCACAAGTTGATTGCCCAGGATATGAAGAAAACTATCGATGCCCATTTCGCTTAGATTGGGCAAATATGCTGGCTTATTTGGGTCTAGATGACTATCACTTCACGAAAGTCTATTTCTTTAGGGACACTGCAGTTAGGGGTCTTGAAGCCTCTCAGTTTTATCTGTACATACTTTGTTGGACACTCTCCCGTATACAAATACTATCGTCATTGATATAACCGTACGACTTGGCGTCATGATCAATTTCAAACCCAGAGTCTTGTGCCGGAGTTGCTGTTGTGAAAATTGAGAAAAGCGAATACAAGGAAAGCAAAAGACATGAATGCACTGTCGCCGGTGAAAAGAGGCTTTCAGTAGTGCGGATCCTTCACCTCGATACCTTCCGTAATCTTCATGACCTTCATGATGTCATCAAATCGAATACAGCGTCCGTCCCTTCTTGCCATGATACTGGCGGTCTTAACCAGCGCTGCCGCAAGTGCAAGTCACTTAGCAAGTAATACAAGCCAATCGGCCAAGTTAACGCTATCGCTACCACCTAAGTAAGTAATTTATCACCCCTTAATTAAATTATTAGACTTAATATCTTATTTATAAATAGATCTAACTAATAAGAAGCTATAGATTAATTAGCACCTTATTTATTCTAGCATATATAGTTACTAAAATATAACACTATTACTAATATCATAATATCTCTATATCTAATTAATACTTTATAAACTACCCTTAAAATACTAGATTTTAAGTAATCCCTTTAAAACTTTCTAAAGGGGTAGAAGTTATCATAGTAGTTTAAATAGTATAAAAAGCATTACGATTAGCTATCTTTTATAAAAGATATTCATTATCCCACATCTTCCTTATTATTTACACCTATACACTTATACTTCTCATAATATTAACTGCTACTACTACCTCCTTATTTACCACTAATATATATACGCTTTTAAGCGCCCCTTACGCCTAAATCTTAACCTAAGTTATAGCTACCCTCACTATTAATACCCCTCTAAATCCTATAATTAATAACCTACCTTATATTATTATAAATAACTAGAGGTATATAGTTAAAGAGCAGTTATTATAGAGGTAAGGCAGAAGTTAATTAAGCTAGATTTAGCATTATAGCTACTTCCTTATTAAGGTTATATAGGGCTAGGCTAGCGCCTCCTTCTAAAGTTACTAGCAATACAATATAAAAGGAGCCTTATAGCTATTCAGCGCTCTTACTACTACTACTAAGCAAAAGCACTTACTTCAGTATATTACTTTAAGCTTTTAGACTATATAAATCACACTCTAATAATACTAAAGCAGCTATAATATCTATAAGATCTCTCCTCTATTAGATAAAGACTCTAATAGCACTACTCTTACCCCCTCACCTCTTATATTAATACTATCTCTATATAAGAGACTTCACCTTACTAATACTAACATCCTAAAAGCTAAGATTATAACCCTCAAAAACCTCTATATTACCTCCATTATCTCCACTAATCTGCTATTTACTTACTTTAAGAATATCTTCCTCTAGCAGATCTTTTAGTATTATAGTATAAAGGTTACTAGTAAGGTCCTATAAAGCTAAAGCTCTATCTAAGACTAGCTCTAAGACTTCTTCTAATATAGTGAGGCTCTTATAACAGCTAAACTCCACTTAGTAATATTAAAAATATATCTATTATTTAATCTATAGTCTTCACTTAATATTTACACCTTTATAGTAATTACTAATTACTTTATTAATAATAAGGGTACCTTATAGTTATATCTTTTAGCCTTCCCTTAGTATTATAGAAACTATAGCAGCAAAAGCCTTATAGAGACCCTTATTAGTATTATTAACTAATACTAGATTTAGAACTGCATTAAAGTAATAGTTACTAATAACGCTATAAATAATAACACTTACCTCTAGGCTTTCTACTAGCAGATTAACCTAGAGATAATAGAAATAGACGTCTAAGCCTAACGTATACAGTGCTACAGCTACATCCTCAATCTTACAGCCTAGGCTTTTTTATTTAGTGAGGACTAAGGGACTCTTAAAGCTAAATTAAACTACTACTAGCTTATAGAGCAGTATAATAAAGATCTAAAGGCATAGCAGCATCTTAAGCCTATTAGCTAGCTCTAGAATATTATTAAGTTTATATAAGCTTCTCTATAACAGATAGAATAATACTAGAAAGTAGCAGTAGAGATCAATAACAGCTCTAACTTCTAGATCTTCTCTAAGTTACACTAAGAGGCCTAGCTTATACTAAATAATAACACCTACTAGAACAGCATATATCTAATAATTAAGAGGGCTATAAAGAAAAAAGTAGAGATTTAAGCCTTCTTATTAGTTAATAATAATAACAACAATATTAAGCAGTATATACTAAAGTTAAACCTACTCTCTACTAATAATTAGAAGGTCTTCACTAAGATCTCAATAATCTTTAAGCCCTTCTATTACTAGATAAAGTAGTATAAAGGCTAAAGTATTAATAATAGGTATAGCTAACTCTAAGAGGTTATAATAAGTATTAAATACCTTCTCTTATATCTTATCAACTAAAAGATATACTATAATACTAATATTAATCCTAAGGTTAATAATAACAATAAAGGTGCCTCCTAGCTATTATAGCTATCTTAAAAGCATGCTAGCTAAGCCTAACGCTATCAGCATAACATCTAAGCCCTACCTACCTATATATAGAAGGATTAAGTATCACTAGCTTCATAATCTACCTCATAATTTAAGACTCTTAATAAAGAGTAGCAGACCTTCCTCTATAATAGCATTAAGCAGGCGTAATAAAAGCTCTTTAACTATTATAAGCTTCTCAGAGAGTTACTACTATTCTCTAATATAATTATTCTACACCTATTATATAATATCTTATACCTAAGAGATATATAGAGTAAGGATTACTAAAAGGGATAGATTAAGAAAGCTTTAAGTACCCTTATAGAGTACTTTAACTAATAATATTATTAGCTTAGTGAGATCTTATTATTAAGCTAGCAAGCTAGCATACTTCCTATTAATCCTAACGCTAGAGATATAGAGGATATTCACTACTAATAATAAGTTAATAGCTAGCACTATCAGACGCTACCCTAAATAGATAAGCTTAATCTCTACCTCTATTAGCCTCTAAAGACTACTTCTAACCTATTATAGTAGTAAACAAACCACGCAGAGACCTTCCTAAAGCTCTCCCAGCTTACTATTAACGTCTTTACTATACTAGCAATAACAGCTAACTATAAGAGAGCTTTTAGTACTACTAAGTTAAGCCTCTTATCGTAGAGGCTCTTAATAATACTAGATACTATAGAGACCCTCTAACTAAATAAGAACTAGCTAAAGAGGGGGGTAATAATACCTTAGAATCACTTTAAGCTACTAGGAGTATTATAACTTTATTTACTTATTACCTAATTAGGAAGTAGTAATAATATCGTTTACTATAGTGTTTAACTTACCACACTTACAAGTTAGCTAATAATTAAAGCCTAAGAAAAAGATCACCAAGTTGACAAGTATAGGGGGCAAAATTAACTTAATTGCACTTGCGGCAGCGCTGGTCTTAACAATGTTACGGATTTTCCGACCGTCAATCTCGATGCTAGAGAGAGCCGCAAGCTCCTCGTTAGAAAGCTCAGACCCAGTCTTCGCGAGGAAGGTCATCCAGACCTTTTGCCTGGACGGCTCATCAAGCGCTGGATAGTTGATAGTGAGATGGACACGGGAATGGACAGCCGGGTCCAAGGACTTCTCGCGATTGGTCGTAAGGAACAAGAGTGAGGGATAGTACTCGAGCTCTCTCAAGAATCCTTTCATTGTATGTTAGATAAGCAATAACCCTTTTGAGTTACGAGAGTATCTCGATCAACTTACGCGAGACCAATCTGTTACGTTGAGACGAGCTGTCACTGCGCTGCTCCAAGTAAGCGTCGCACTCGTCAATGAGGAGGACAGCACCCCATCGTGCGGCAAGCTCGAATGCTCCGGCGATGTCCCCTCTTCTGTGCTCGACCCCAATAGCTACACTTCTGCCACCAGGCCGACGAGCCCGGTGTGGCGGCGTATCGTAATGATCAGGATCGTCCTCATTGTATTCGCCCAGTTCCATCTTGAAGAGTGGAGCCTGCATCTTTTCCGCGACTGTCACATATGAGTAAGACATTGCGGTTGGTATAGGCTCAGAAACCATACCTGATTCAGCCGTGAGAGTTTTGCCAACTCCAGGAGCACCAGCAAGCAAAGCAACGAGGCCACCACCTGGAAAATTAGCATCCAGAACCACGTGAAGGAATTCAAGTTTACCTTTGCCGTTGATGACATCGTCAAAGTTATCATTGTCTTTGATCTGGCTCTCCACAAAGGCGAGAATGAGCTCCTTGTATCCATCAGGAAGTACCAGGCTCTCGAATGGCTTCGTGTTCCACTCGATATCATGGATTTGGTCAACTACAAAGTTTTCTGCATTCACCTGAATAAGCTGGCCGGTTATATGAGATCGAATCTGGCTTGGACTTACCCCATGTTTTGTCCTTGAGATTAAATCCCAGTACACGAGGAACGCACAGTGACAGTCGGAAGTCACTGAGTCGCTTTCGAGCCCTGTTGATCATGAAATTCTCTATATCGACTGGGGCATATTCATCAGTAACAATGAATGCACAGACGACATAATCTAGAAGCTTACAGGGCCCCAGAGGAGGACGACTCGCGTCTGCGTCGTCCTCTGGCAGATTTGGCCGTGGTGGAAACAGTGGATCTGAAGATAACGACGACGATGGTGAAAACTGAGGCGGCGTGTGTCGGAAACCACGTGGTGCAAACGGGTCGGTCGGAGGCGTTGGATAGACAGGTGGTGCGTAGGGGGCAGGGCGCCTTCGAGAAGGTGGAATGCGCTGTTCCCCGTCGTAGTAAGAGTCATTCTCGTCTCCGCTACGCTCGCGCCGAAGAGGTACATGGCCCTTCGGTGGTGGTGTATCAACGGGCCCCTGTATTATGAGCTGTGTCCGTTGGTAGAAGACTGAGGCATCGTCCCGATCTCCAAACAGAGCGCCGACGCCACCAGAGCGTCTATCATAATCTGTATCGATCATAACTCGAATTTCTGCACTCGGGTTATCGAGTCGATCAGGGCGGTAGGCCTTGTAGTGCTTCCCAACGAGACTGGCGAACTTGCGACCCCTTTCGATCAACCGCTTCTGGACACCATGGAATTCATCGTGGTATTTTGCAGGGTAAAGCCGCAGCGAGTTGATGGGCCGTGTGCCTCTGAAGCGGGGAATGAACTCGCTCTGGACAGCTACACCAAAATCGTCACCGCTGCAATTGACGTAGTTGAGCCAAAGTTCTACTTTGGACGGGTCCGTGTTGTTGGTGTGTCCTTGAACAACAAAGAAACGGTCACCGTCGAAGCGGCAATCCGAGTAGACGACTTCGCCTGGAGCGAACAGAGTCCAGAGGTATTCGTACGTAATCATGCCGTGACTGATGAGCTCCTTGCTGACGGCAAAGGCACCTGCGAGCTCGCGCTTGACGATGGACCTCAGAATGGCCAAGATCTTCTTAACCTGCTCGTCCTCCTCGTCGGCGATAGCCTTCTCGAATGCCTCCCAGCGCCAGAAGAACTGATGGAAAGGCGCCAGAAAAGCAAGGTATTTCAGATCATGAACGATGCCGTCGTAGGGCTTGAAGACATCAATGAGGACTTTGCGAGTCGCTGCGTGGCGGATGTCGATGGAGTGGATCGTGACCAGACTGCCTGCCTTCCCGGGAGTGACTCGGCGTCTCACGATGATCGGATTGGACTCGTCGTCGTCACTTTCGTCTTTCTCAAGGGCGGCCAAGTCCACACCATGAGGACATTCAGTCATCCAGTTGATGCAGCATTGGCACTTCTTGGGGCCTTCGTAGAGGTCTTGGACGATGGCATTGCGATCGTCTTGGCTGATCTTGACCTCTTCCTCAGCCCTGATGGTCTCGGTCAGACGATCGATGACAGAGAAGGAAAGATCATCTTCAAGTCTTGTCGATTCCACTATGTCAAGATCAGACGCCATACTGGGCGCTTCGAATACCTGTGTCTTTGGCGTGGCCTAGTGACGTAAATGTGAAGCTGGACAGAACCCAGGAAACAGGTGAAGGGCAGATTCGGTCCCTTTAAATCTCAACAACACACCTTACCATGCAGCCACGAGCTGTGGCTGTACAATCGCCTTCGTCCCCCTTCATGTTTCGGGGCTGATACATGGTCTGCTGCATGTAAGCCCTAATGCTGTCGTGATCTTGGCCTTGTAGACGTACAACAGAAAAGCGGAACCTGAAAAGCGATTGCGTTGCGTCCAATCAAAAGTCAAATGCGAAACCAAGTCCAGGCATGAATGTGAAAATGCACACACTAGTGAGGACTATGCATGAGAAACACGTCAGATATTTTAGGCAGACCATGGGGCTGACTTTTCCACTTTCGAAAGCCTAAGACCTGAATGATTACTGTGAACCTCCGCAGAAAGCCACAAAACTACATAAAGTGGCATTTTACCCCCCACAGGTTGTGAAGTACATGAAACGTTCCGCGCCTGTGGTGACACGAGTGGCCTATTCTGTGAATACACGACCTGTTGTCTAAAAGCTGTGAAGTGCTTCGAAGGCTCCTTTGAGTACCGCACTTTGAAAAGTAACTTAAGCACGGCTTGGGACGTCTTTTTGTTGATGAAACAAGTTGCTTCCTATTCGGGTTTCGCGCCATGTATTCTGCAGATTGATTCCATGATATTACGATAAACGAGTGGTCAGCACGATATGTTGAGAAGCGGGGTAACGCATCGTTACAAGCGCATGATTAGATCAATTGTGGCGTCCTGCTGCCTATGGTTTGCTGCCTAATTCTACCATTATTACTTGAAAATATGGCGTGCCTCTCACTCAAACACGATATGGCAATGCGATGCGCCAACGCCTCCCCGGTAGACGCAGAAGTTTGAACCGTTCGCAGATGTGAATCCTAACGGCTTTCGACTGCTGCAGTACCCAGCTTCTCCTTCTCCAAGTCGCCGGAATGCGAGAATCCGCCGGTCGGAGATCCGCGGTTCAGCACGGCAGTGAGCCCAATCTCGGTGTTGATCTCCTCCATACGCTCGAAGTCGGCTTGAGCGGTGCCCTCGGAGCCGAAGACAAGGTCCTGCGCAAGTGTCAGCCGGTAGTTCAACTACTTATGAATGTAATCGAAGAAAGACGAACCATCTCTTCAAGTGATAGTCGCTTGGTCTCTGGGACAAAGAACCAAATGAAGGCAGCTCCCAAATAGGTCAACAGCCCAAATAAGATGTACGTGCCATATGTGATACCAACGAGCATATCGGGAGTGACTTGGCCCACGATAAAGTTGTTCCTAGAAGGTGCTGGTTAGCTTGAACAAGACTGCATAATGTCATCCCACTCACATCCAGTTGCTGGAAGCTCCAATGGACACTCCATATGGTCGAGTGCTCAGGGGCCAAACTTCAGCGATAATGATCCAAGCGCAAGGACCCCACGAATCTGTTTAGATGTCAGTCTCCTTGCACATACCGGGTTAGATATTGGTGACCTACATCCAAAATGAACTACGAAAAGCCAGACCATGCAGACAGCAGCCCAGCCAGCTGCAGGCTGCTCGTGGAAGCGATCGATGTTCTTAGCCAAGATGACGGCGATGATGATGTGGCAGGTGCCCATGCCAATTGCTCCAATACTGAGAACCGGCTTTCGGCCCACCCTGTCAATCCACAAGACGGCCGGAATGGTAGCGATAAACTAGACTTAAGTGTCAGGAGTTTGGGGCTATCAAAGCAGCAAGCGGGTAGCGAAGACTCACCATCACCACGCCAACTACGCCAGTGGCAAGCAGACTCGTGGTGTTTTGGCTGAGGCCCAGCTGGCTGAAGATTTGCGGAGCATAGTAAAGTACCTGGAGTGGTTGTTAGCGATGGCCATCATCACTAATTTTCGAAAGGCGCATACTCACGGCGTTGATTCCCGTCCATTGTTGGAAGAACATGGTGACAGTGGCAACAATGACACGTTTGAACATGGCCTTCGTCGTAAACAGAGCTTTCATGGCAACAAATTGAAGCTTGAAGGTATTCCACGCTGTCTGCTGCTGTAGGTGTGGAAACTGCTCCGCAACACTGCGCTTCTCAAACAGAGACTGGGCCTTGATTTCAAGGAACTCGAGCTCAATAAGTTCATGATTCTCGGGAAGGTCTCGGAGGTTGGCGAGAATCCTACGCGCTTCCTCCTCGCGCCCGTGGTGGATAAGCCAACGAGGGGAGAATGGCATCCAAATCATTCCGACCAAAAGAATGGCGGCCGGGCCTAGTTGTAAGCAAATGGGCACTAGCCAAGCTGCATCGGATTGCGTCTCTACTGTCGTGCCACCAATGTAGTTGCAACCGTAACTACATAACCGTCAGTACACATGTCAGGAAGACCCCTCGGAACACTTACTCGATCCAGAAGGATATCATGATGCCAAAGGTGATTGCCAGTTGTTGAAGAGCGACGAGGGCACCTCGAACCTCTGGCGGTGCGCACTCCGAGTTGTACAGGGGCACGATCATAGACAAGCTGCCCACGCCCATTCCACTTTGTCAAGTCAGTATTGATAGTCATTTAGGTTTCTGCAATGGAACACATACGTGATGAAACGACCTCCAAGAATGGATTCGTGACCTCCCGAGATGGATGTTATCTGGACAATGACACCGAGGATGAAGACTCCGGTTGCAATCAGGACGCCGTATTTTCGTGAGCACACTTCGGCTATGAAGCCCGAAAGCACTGCGCCAACCCAAGCTCCAAGCTCAAGGATCGATGTCAGCCATCCCTTCTGGGTAGGGTTTCTCGTGTATCCGCCCATGTCTACCAAGCACCACAATTGTCAGCTCCAGGCCTCCGTGTCATTGGGTCAATTGACTCACGTTTATCGAATGATGGCATTGCTAGAATACCAGAGAACATGCCCTGATTGTAGCCGTAGAGAACACCTCCGATGCAGGCGAAGGCTGCAATGCGAGCGACTTTCCAGTTTTTCACGAGCGCCCTGGCACCACTGGCGCCCATCAGCGCTTGTCTTCTTTGTAGAGCCGCATCGTAGGCAGCGTTGCCCGAAGAATGGCCGCCCATAGTGTCAGTCTTCGACAGGCAAGCCTGACGATGGTTAATTTAAAGCTGTAATTGGAAGTTGGGGAGTCCCAGTCAAGGCGAAAGACGCGATAGGCAAAAGATAGAGAAGTGGACCAAAAGCTTAGCTTGAGTATTGATGGGGAAGACGCGTACTTAAATGCGACGTCCATGCAGGATTCAGCTGCATATTGCCAGACCACAAAAGCATCTGAAGATCTTGTGCCTTCATGGTACGTTTTCATGAGGACCCTGTCACATTCGGTACGACTCTGACCCAACGCTGCGGTGACAGGCATCGGTATCTCAACGTGAACCATTTCCCCCTACATGCTAAAGAGACCTCAGGCTGCTCATTGGACAATACTCATGCGAGCTTGTTCGCCCAGGTTAGCGAAAATTCCCCAAAACAATACGACTATTACCCCGCGTGGCCGCAAACCCCATGTTTCAAGCACGATCACCACCGGCAATAGCATTTAGCCTAAAAGGCGACAGGTCTGCCACATATCCGCCTTTTGCCAACGCGGGGAGTGGTGGCTGTTGGCGCTTATCCTTCCCCCATCCTTGTCTGGATGCTTGCCTTTGCGGGTATCCGCGCTCAGCTGCTGTTCAGATTGGATCGGCTCACTGCATCCTTGCAAGGGCCGAATGGCGAGAACAAATCTGATCTGCCGGCCGAATCCTACGCCCGACTTTACGCATCTCGCCGGGCATTAGCCCGGGCGGTCTCCGAGCTGATGAGGCATTGGCTACGTAAAGCAGCCACTGTCCAACGGCGTACTACGACAGCGATCCCGGAGCTCTGGTTCCAATTACTACCTAGTTCATCGACCATGCACTACTTGTTGAAAGGTTCGAATTGATGTGACATGAAGGTCTCAACGTCATTTAATTGGCTTCAGCGAATTTGCAGTGCCAAGGGATACTGTTATCATCAGAGCTGGTTTGCTAGGACGTAACGTGTATTTGGGACATCTCCGGCATACAATCCACAGCGGTACTTCGCTAGTCATCACCACCATCCGCAAGACTCTTTTCTACTCCCTTCACCAACCTCTACGTCGCTAGCTGTATGCTCTGCTGGACATTTGAAGGTGTATGTTGAAAAGCCCCAGGACCCGACTTTCGGCTGGGTCCCGAAAGCTTTACTTTCATAATTTACAGCTGCTTTGAAAGCGAGTTATCAGCCACGAGCTCCCCATCGGAAACTTTTAAGAAAGCCTTAGCAGCTACCATCAAACACGGACTATGTCGATGGCCCGATATCGTACGTCTTCTTGCACGCCGCGGATCACGTCAAATCAGGAACCGTTCTGATGGTTGTTTGCGGCGTGGCACGGGTTGAAGCGGCCGCCAGCGGTCTTGGGGGCCTGGAGCTGTATACACTGCAATACACTAGCGAGAAGCACCATGTAACGAGTTTAAGATTTTGAAATGCCTCTTATTTCTTTCCCATTCAGGAGCTAGATGACAAGGACGAAGGCGACGTTGCTTCGCTGACTGACGGGTTTGATCCGCCATAAGTGCTTCGATTGGACGGTCTGTCCCTTTGCTCGCTGAGCTATGGGTTTCAACCCTCAACACGTCTCTTTTCCACGTGATAGAGCGTACAAAGATTCCAGCATTGATCCGTCAATGACTGCTGGAAAGTCCGCCGTACGAGGCCGAATCGAAGGCGATTCCTTAACTGTTCATCTCTGGGAGCCTGGATGGAGGCCAAGGCACAGCCGGATGGGCAAGCATAGAGAAGCCCAAAACATATGGGCTTATAATTCCCTTTGGGTATAGGTGATGATTTACACAGGGAGGCATGACTTGCGGGACGGAGATTCTCGGCAGTCAAGCAGTTTTCTCGGGACGGAGCCGGATCTCCACTTTTCCCTACCAGTGTCAGTCTCCGGAGGCTGCTGTGAGGCCGGCATTTCGGATACGTGACTTCTATCAACTGACAACTGCCTTTGAATGAGATGGTTAACTCGAATTTTACTTGTTAGTCGGACTATTCCCAGTTAAATCTGCCTTCCGAGTTGATCATCATATTCGTTCAACACCGTTGCTCAGACGCAATGAAAGCTATCCAAAGTCATAAAATTGAAGAATTGCTGAGACCGGAGCGTCAACAAAACTCCGCACTCGTTTTGGCGGACATGTGAAGTATCGCCTCCTCTCCGACAAGAGGGGTTCCGTCAATGTTGGGGTTCGATGAACAACAGCAGCGCGTTAGCGTCAGATTCGCCACGTATTCCGTGTGTTCCGCGGCGAATCCTCGTCCTGTCTTGTACTGTGAGAGCAAATCTTTATGAACTCCATGATCAATTATAAATCAGAAATGCGAAATTCCGCCGACATTCTGGCCTTGATAAAAGCAAAAAGGGGTTAAAAGCGACTCTAGGAGCCAATTTGGATTCTCGCGACGCCAGCTGGTGGACCACCATCATTGTACGAACTGTACGTCATCCGTTCTCATCCCACACCAACAAGCTCGCCAACACCTGCCGAGTAAGAACCATGAAGATCCTTGTCGTGGGAGGAACCGGCATGATCGGCGGCCACGCCGCCCTTCACCTCCGTTCCAAAGGTCACCAGGTCACCATCAGCGGCCGTCGAGCACCCACGGAAGTTTCCGCCCTCGTCAAGCTCCCATTCCTCCAAGGAAACTACCTCCGCGGTGACATTACTGCGGAACAGCTTGCCCTTTTCGAAGCCGTGGTGTTCGCGGCCGGGAGCGACGTCAGGCATGTACCAGAGGGTCAGGAGGCCGACGAACACTATCTGCAAGCCAACGGGGAGGCTGTACCGGCGTTCGCCCGCATGGCTCGGGAGGCAGGTGTCAGGATATTCGTGCACGTGGGGAGCGCGTACCCTCACATCGTGCCCGAAGCCGTTCACTCCAGTCCTTACGTCACCTCCCGCAAGCTAGCGGCTGATGGAGTCGCTGCACTCGCCACACCTAACTTCCACGCCTGCAGCCTAGATCCTCCGATCGTCGTCGGCACGGTCCCTGGCATGAAGATACCGATGTTCGAAGCCTACATACAGTACGCGGAGGGAAAACTCCCTATTTCTTCTTTTGCGCCCGCCGGGGGGCTCAACTTCATCTCCACGCAGTCTCTGTCTGAAGCAATCGCCGGAGCGATCGAGAACAGTAAAACTGTGTCCGGAAGATCTATCTTGGTTGGCGACGAGAACCTGACATATGCAGAGTACCTCGAGACGTTTTTCCATGCTGTAGGAATCCAGCAGAAACTGCCTGTTTCGGACCAAGACCACCCGCTGATGCCCCGGGCGACACTCTATGCCGGGGACATGGTTGTCAGGTATGAGCCCGATGCTGCAGATGTGGCAGCTTTAGGAGGGTACCGGCGGAATGACGTTAGGAATGCCGTTAGTGAGATTGTATCCCAGCATCGTTCACGCGAGTAAAAGACGACTCACGAGAGAAATTAAAGTCTATTTCGTCTATGCTGCCGGGTTTGCGATATGTTTGATGCGGTCCATCACTTACGTTTTGACGCGGCTGTGAGCCGGCCGCCATGACTCAATTTGTCGATCGTGGACCTGACGATTGCTGGTTTAGTCTCTTGTGTCATTCAATTCATAGTTTACGCCTTGTCTGTAGTCTTCTTCTCGACGTATCGGTAACAGTCCCGTGGCTTTGCCTAGACTCTAGAGTCGGAATATGGATTCCGTAAAAACCCAACTACAGCGGCCTAAATGTCCGCATGCACATTGACGCCGCGGACTCCGTGGGAATGGTTCATTCCAATTAGTAACACACGAGTTGCTTTCTCAAGATTGTACATCGATGCAGCTTTCATGAACTTGGCATGTATCAGGTCTTTGAAGTTAGGCATGAGTCTTCTGGTGGGTTGACCAGGGAGACCCACAGTATGGGAATGGCCGCCGCATGCAACAACATCAAAGTTTCAATGTGTAGTAGATTGGTGGTATCATGTAATATTTACTGCCCGAGATACTGAGGTGCAGGTGAATAAACTCTCACTTTGATTAAGTATTACCCTTGCCTAGCTGATTGTCCAAGGTAAATGACATCTGCCCCATGTACGTACTATTCCACTCGTCCACGTGTAGATCCGGGAAAGCGTTCGGCTCCAACTGCGAGTCAAAGGTCGGCCAGTTCTCCATGGCAGGCTGCTGCAGCGGCAGGTGGATAGTGTTCTCGAGCGCTCCGTCCACGAAGGCGATGCCTTTCTTCGACTTGATGTATGCCTCCGCGATGCGGTACAGAGACCTGCACAGCTCGTACTGCCGCTTGCATGACTCGACCAACCCGCTGAGTCGCTCGCTGATTTCCAGGGTACTTCGGAGCAGGTTGAGGTCTTCGACGTCGGAGTGTCTGATGCAGTGGAGGAATGTGATTATGTAGGGAGTAAAGGAGGAGTAGAGATGTGTCCTGGGAGAATTGGAGTCAGCCGGGATTCTGCGTCGATAGATGCCGTGGAGTAGACTTACCAGACTGCGTAACTGAACAACGCGGCGTAACCCCCAGACGCGGACCGAGGGAAGGCGGTCGCATGCGCCGTGAGTCCCTTTCTTGCCGCGTCGAAGCACTCCTCAGTTATGGAGCTCGCGGAGTTCGATGAGTTGGCTCCACGATGAACTAGTGTTAGAATGGAGTAGTAAACCACATCGAGCCCGTCAAAGGTGAATTGAAATAGTTCTTTGCGATAAGCATGCGTATAGTCCACGCTTCGCCACGAGTCGTACCACGCCGACAGCCGCTTCGTAAGATGTGCTACCGAAGCACTGCGTTCCTCGTCGCTCGTCCTCGAAGCCGCCGGGGAATAGAGGTGCTCGTAGATCTTGGATTGTATCCGTCCGAATTCGATGAATGCAGAAAAGGAGGTGTCCCATGGGCGTCGCTCGGGTTTATTGGAGATCTCGAAAGGTTCCACGTCGATGTCAAAGTCTTGGATGATTGCGGCTTTGCCTTGAGTCAGAGTCAGACCGCGGTCTGCGAAATAGACGTGCCAGAACAGGCGTCGCGCTCTGCGGGCCTCTTCTCTCGACAACGTCGCTAATCTTGCTTTCCGATTGTAGCCCAGGGCGAGACAGTGTCTTGCGGCTGCAGACATTACCGTCCATTGCAATGCAAGGTTTCCGTCTTGTTGTGCTCGTAACGACTACAAAAGATTTTGTTAGCCCCCAAAGTAATCAGGACCATCTGCAAGCATCAATCGAGACTTACCGCTATGGAAAGTATTAGAGTATGTTCGAATGTCGGTACCGCCATGACCTCGTAGGTCTCGATGCCGGACTTGAAGTTTGCATGGCACAAGTTGTACACACGGCTTGTTTCCTGGGGATCGAATTCCGGGTGTTTCTCGAAATCGATGTCGCGCAAGAGGACTGACAAGAACCCATTTAGGAGAGTGACCTCGCCGATGGTCACCGGGTCCACGGAGAAGTAGACCCTGCGGCATAGGTCTTCGACTTGCACCCGGTTCTCAACTGCGTAGAACAGAAACAGTATTGATTGTTCTGAGTCATGCACAGATTAGTCTCTGCTCATTTTATGAACGATGGTAAGGGTGAGAACGAAAGACATCGATGCTTACCACTAACAGTCCGGAGCAATCGGATCACCAGATCTGAAGGTGGAAGTTGCAGCTGCGAGCCTTTTCCCACATGGGGTAGTCTTCGCAGCTGTTTCGGCTCCATTCGCTCATGGCTCTGGCAAATTCCTCGTAACGTCTCCAGCTCGTCGACTACAATTGGTGACTGAGCGGCTTCGACTTTCAACTCCTCTATCTGGCTCGCCAAGTACGTTTGTTGCCTGAAAGATGAGTCGCCCTCGAAAGACACCGGCTGGTCTTCCCACAAACAATGATGCGTTGAGGAGTCATCTTCGACATTAGGCGTCGTATTTGGAGTAGAATTTGGGGTGTGTCTGTTTGCGTGATTTTCTGTCTGGTTTCGGAGGGCGTCTTCGACGGCTCTCAACCTTTCGTGAAGTTGCTGAATGCTAGGGTGACTATCATCGCGTCAGCATTTGAACCGTATTTCCGCGAGCATATCTCCGGTTACCTCTCAGCAGGTCTGTCCGCGGAAGCTCGCTGACTTGGTTGCCTTCCAGCCGGACGACATGGAATTTTGGACGTCACGCAGTTTGAGCAAGGGACTTCTCGATTGCATCGCGTCTGCGTGGTGTCAGCTTGAACGGAGTTAAGACGCAGCAATCATTCGAAAGGGATAAGCGAGAAAAAGGGGGTTCGTTCGATGAGCGCGTCCCGCGGGCTGCAAGTCCGAAGATGGACAAAGGTGATAAATAGAATGTCTCTGTTTACCTTGCGAATCCGGCAATTATGGCACTATCAACGACGACAACATTTTGGTGGTTAGCAATCATTGCGTATTAGTATCGCCGTATCAGCTGGTAAGCGGCGTTGGGCGACGATCCCGTTAGGCGGAACTTACCGCTCTCGGAATAACACTGGTCTTTGGCGTGTGCTCCGACTCCATGGTGTTAGCGTAGCCGAGAGAAACCGACAGGGTCGGACGGTCTCCTCCTCTTCGCACACTGTACTTGGCTTCTGCGCGTGTTCTGAATTACGTATGGCCCGGTGCTGTGTCCGTTTTGCCGGTCCCTCGCGAGCCTTTTTGTTTTTCAGCTCCGTGGTCTCCGTGGGAAGCGCGGAGCGCACGGACACACGTCCGAGACAGGGGCTTTGTATTTAAAGTCGAGTAGGTTAAACTACGGCCTTCACATCTGCGGAGATTCCCCCTCACTGGCCTTCCCCTAACGGCTCTTTATGCGTACGACAGAGTTGAGTTTTTAGACTATGAAAGCGATACCGAGATTGAACTAAACAAATGATTTGTCAGTTGGTTGTCAGTTTTTGGCTAACTTTCGCCGAATAGCTGGTACTCCATAGGAAAGTGTGCAATCGTAATCCTGGAAGCGTGTCGATCATGACTAGGCGCTACAGTCGTAAAACCCCTGTCGGACGCAATTTCGGGGCTGCTAGTCAACTTGCCCCGTCATAACAGAGTTCCCGGCTTCTGTGCACACCCGCGAGGATTATGAAGATTTGAGATGGCCGACGTGCTCTGGGAGACCGGGGCAAAAATCGCTATTTTCACGCTCACACACAAGCAGATCCCCCTCATCGAAGCGCCATTACACTTTGAAGCCGTTGGTTCCCAAGACTCAAGCGTCCAATACCATTGCCAGTTTTAGTCCGAGGTCCCCGACTTCAACTCAAAAATGACATGGTCGTTCTCGCGATTGGTTTCCACTAAGTACAACCCACACGAGCTGAAAAAACCCGCGGTCTCAATAAGTTCGTGTTCACACTCTATCAACGAAACAAATGATATTTCATTCCAACGGTGACTCGAGCAAGCAACAAGCTTTCTTGGCCTCAGCCACGTAGGGCGCCGGCAGCATGCGCTGTTAATTATCACAGGTGAAAAAGAGATACGATTGGAGTATCCAGCCCATGTCATGAGCTTGGTACGCGGCATCTTGCAGCTGACCCTACTCCCCCAGATCCGACAAAGTGAGATCTCGGCTCCGCAGATAAAGGCGCCGGCCAAGTGGCAGGCTGTCGATGCAGGGTTTTCAAGTCGGGTGACCTGCGGTGAAAGAAACTGACTCTCAGATACCGAAGGCATTCAGAATACTACTAGGTATTTATGTGACATGGACACTTTTACTATTGTGATAGCACAGACTGGTTAGAACCCGGGCACGGGCTATGAGAACGTTGAAGAAGGTTCCGTCAAATTGGCCAGGGGCCAGCGCAGCGGATAGATCAAATTTAGTCTGCATGTGGGATCCACGTTGTTCAGTCTGCATCGAGAGGGATTCGCTACTTGTGCTGCAAGCAAGACCCATTTAAGATGCGGCTAAAGCTTCCATGACCGCGGCCCGGGATGGCTATGAACGCGTGTTACGCCCTTCCCAGCTCGCCGGCCACTTCAAGGCATTCATATTCGCCCATCCAACACATGTCGGCTCATCTTGTTATTGGAAGAATCTGACAATGACGAAGTCTATCGTAGAAGCACCCTCGTCGTTCAAAATGCTGCTAATGTCTTACATCATCTGGCCTTCAAACACACTCCCGCAGAGGCCTTCCAGGCGCTCATGTTGTGAATGGCCGGGGGCTCCCCAGTTTTGCAGGCCACCCGCTCAGGCCCTCACAACCTGCCCGGGATGACGGCAGGGCAGGTGGGTTTCTTTACTGATCTGGTCGTATTGTATCGAGCCGCTAGCCGAGAACTTCCCACATACCCGCGGAATATCGGGCTCGCATTTTGCACGTCCCCTATAACTTGGAACGATCTTCTCATTCGGAAGCTCCGCCGGGAGCACAAAGCTTTCCACGACGTAACACGAGCCAATTTGGGACTAAGGTGTCACTCTGCAGCTCTAAACTCTATTTAAATCCGTAAAGACCACCACCGAGCTTGCTTCTCGGCGTCAGGTCGTCGAAATCGTTGCTTGGTAAGATCCGAGACCGACAACATCAATGAGGGCCAAGGCGGTCAGCATCACACAGGGCGTATGAATTGCGTTGCAGATGTGCCACGATGCAGCCCTATGACTCGAGGCAAATTTCGGGTGAGAGATTAACGACGACGTAGTCGGCGATGTGAATACTGCAAGTGGAGCGCCAGGCGTAGTCGCCGAAGACACGTCGACAAGAATTGAGTTATCGCCGTCCTCTTATTGTTCAGGTCGGTGAAGCTATTGCCCTACTTGTCATATTTCGCGCAAAGGCAGCTCCGGGAATATCCCAAGTCGGGGGAAGGCAGCATTCTGAACCATTCATCGTCATTCTACTCTCACGTAAACCCCCCCTTTCTTCCCTTCTAACTTTTCTTCTTCGCAGTTTGCCGCCTGGAGGCGCACCTTGTTGACTGCCGTATGACTCTCACGGGGAAATATTCGAGGGCCAGGATGGCTCACAGAGAAACCTCTATGGCCACCTATGGGGGTATATGAAGAGAATTCTATAGCCATGCATGAACATCGAATGGTCTGCTGTCGCTGCACTAACATGAAGTCATGAGTTGCTCTCATAGTTCAAGATTTCCCATATTCGAGACGTACGAATTCGCCATCAGCGACGCGATATACCAAGTGTGTAAACTCATGAATTTGTCCAGAAAATCACAAGGGGGGAATTCACAATGCGTCCAGTCCGGCTGGAATCTGCTCAAGCCCAGGCCCTATCGTGCTGAGGCGTCGAATTTATTGTCCTCGGACAAGATCATCACGACTGTGGCCTATTCTTGAATTATTTAATGAACCCAAAGTCTGATTCGACGACTTTTGGTTTTTGTTGCTTGAATACGAGATGAACTGAGATAAGGAGGCCACTTGTGACGACTGGCGATGACAACCGCGCCCTAGAGCAGCGCCCTTCCAGGTAGTCCGCACCAGCGATAGTGGGCTCCCTCCAACACGTAAAAGCCGACGCATCAAAGATGAAGAACATCTTATCGCTCAGGATGTTTGAGGTTTAGGTCAATTGATAAAGGCTAATAGTTGTGGTCGTCTTTCCTCTCCGCCTAATTCTCAAGCTCTATCCTCTCAGTTATGTTGAATCAACGCTTGCAGTCGGCCTTTGTCAAGAATATCGCCTTCGACCAGCCGTCCCGTCTCCTTGATTTCACCATTGACCAACTGGTAGCGGACGATGGTTGGGACGTTGTGAACGTCCCACTTGGTCCGATAGACGTTAGTGGGTACTTTCCACCTACATGGAGTTAGTTGAGCTGCCGAGAACCGACGCATCGAAGGCTGAACGTGTGCCAGCAGATATCCACTCACTCGGGTCTTTGGCCAACTTCAACGAATGCCATGCTCGGCGCCGTCTCGGCCGAGAAGGCGGCATTGATGTGTGGCAAGGCAGCTCTGACATCAGGACACCATGACTCCCCTGTTTCCGGGAGGTTTGAAGTAGTAAATGTTATGAAGAAGGGTGCATCGGGACTGCCAGGCAGTTGAATAGCTTCCACGGAGTCCGGTAGCGTGAAGGTCGAGATAATGGGCATCTTGGCGGTGACGGGCTACTTTCGCGAGACAACGACGAGATTGCTGGGCCAATGAAAGCAGAGGAAGCTGCGATTTAGGGAAGAAGAAAGAACAATGTGAAGCCCATCTTTTCTTAGAAACTATGAGGCGCGGCTTCTGCAAGTAGATAATGGCGTGATACCGATTCACTATGGTGTTGCCGGCCACGATCTCCGAGACCGGCCGGGGTGGCTCCACGGCGCCGTTCCTTCAAGAGTGGGTACCCGGCCGTGGCCGGCACATATCACCGATCCTCGTAAGATAACGCCATAATCATGCCCAGAGTGACTGCAACTCGACCGTACGCCTTTAAGCTATTATAATAGATTCTTATGGAGTAGAAATTGGTGCAACGACAATTCTGAACCCATTTCCCCTCCAGAACCCCGCTGGTTCAAGGCTCCCTCGATACGTACAGTTGGCTTTGACTTTCGGGCTCGAGAAACACCCCCCACGTAATACCCGACGGATCTTCTCTGGACCTTGCAACGCCTCTCGCTCATCGTTCTTCCACGGATATTTGAACGAAGGGCTTGCCATATCTTCGCCCCAAAGAGTCGTGCACCATTCCCAAACCTGCCCCGCCATATCATAGCATCCGTAGGGCGAGCGACCCTTTGGGAACAACCCAACTGCACAAGTGTTGTTGAAACCGGCCTCCTCTGAGTTTGCAGCATCGGTATTCCACTCAGTGCCCCAGGGAAACACCAACCCCTCGCTGCCAGCCTCAAACTGATCTCCGCGAGACGCCCGCTCCCACTCAGGCTCCGTAGGAAGCCTGACCTCGTCGTTTGGCGTTATTTCCCCGCTCGCGCGCCATCGTTCTGTCAGCCACCTGCAGTAATCCCGCGCGTCGTGCCAGGTGAGATCAGTCGCTGGCGCGTTTAACCTTTCCGGGTCCGTTCCATCCGGGCTGAGCCAATCTCGGCCGGTCCCCCGAGCAAACGCCGAATAGTCCCTATTGACGACTGGATAGATGCCAATCCGGAAACTGCCGAGTGAGATAGAGTTTGGTGGGTGTGAGTTGGGATGACTTTCAGAGCCCATGACGAAAGTTCCAGCGGGTATTTGTGCGAGGCCTGTGAGGTTGCGGGGGTCGCCCAGAGAGGAAAGGATGCGTCCAGCTTTCTCGCGCTCCTTGGGTGTCAATAAGCCTCTGTCCACGACTTCCAGTACCCATTTTGCTACCGACTGTTCGAATTCTGAGTCTTTGGGGACGAGGTCGGCAATAAGCAGGGCAGCGCGGTGAGATTCTGATGACGCCCCGTCAAGCAACCGTTCCAACAGTGTCTCCGCTTTGGCAGAACCCGCGAGACGGACCAAACAGCTCCTGATGACTGGCTGTGAAGAGCCTGGATTTGCATAGTAGAAGGCGAGTACTTCTTTTGTTGGGAGAGTTGCTAGTTGTCGAGCTGCAAGCAATTGCTGAACCGCACTGCAGGACCAGGCCGGAGTCAACAGTGATGTTGGCAAAGCCAACGTGCTTCGCTGGTCCTCACCCTTGGTTCTCAAAGCCTGCTCATAGGCCTTCAACTGAAGGTATTCGGCAGAAGTTCCATAAGAATCAACGACCTTGATCCACTCATCGAGGATGTCTTCGGCCTGTTCCGCCACACATCCAGCTTGGAGTGCCAAGGCGAATAAGGCAGGATTCGATGCGGAAGAGCCCAGTCCTATGGCTTTTTGAATCAACAGCTCGTAAGCTGCTCGCTTTCTCTGGGTTGTCAAAAGTGGTAGTATGTCGTGACGAGCCACGACTGAAGGTAGCACCCAGCAGCTGCAAACTTTGGTGTCCCCGAGTAAAAGAAGCCGGACGTCGTTTGCCGACTTCGCCAAGCCACTTATGGAGCCGAGAAGCTCAACACCCTCACTCCCAGCCTTATCGACCCCGTCTATGATGATTTGAAAGCCGATTCTCTGGTCTCCATGTTGCGTCAGTAACTCCGGGAGCGTTCTCTCGACAAGAGTCCGAAGAGACTCTGCTCCATCGACGAGGAAGTAGTATGGCTCAAGCTTGCCAGTCTCCCACGTTTCCTCATGCGAGTCCCCAAACTCGTTGCGAATTACTGAGCGTGATTCACGGAAATCATCTGTCGCCATCCGATAGCTAACATATTTCGCAAACGTGGTTTTCCCACTTCCACTCGGGCCCGTAAGGAGCAGGATCCTGTTATCGCGTACCAGCTCGACGGCGGAGAAGTAGACCGGGACCTCGCGCTCGTCGCCCACTTTACGTTTCCGTAAGCCCTTGGCGGCTTTGTCTTCAAAGGTGAAGTTCGCTAGGAGTGGTATGTAGCCGTTGGCCAGGTCGACGACGGTGCCATCCGGTCGGGTGAGCAGTGGCTCGCTGCCAAACGCTGCTGCTTTCGATCGCAGGGTTTTGAGAGTGTTTGAGAAGGGGTCAGCCATATTGCAATTCTCATACACAACGTTCTACACAACCGGCAACAGACACCGATGGGGCGATGAGCCGGCCTTATATACCGATACTCCCGGTGGAGAGAACCGATCTCTCGGGTCTAGTGCGGGGATGCCATCGGCACGAAATCGGAGGGGGGGACCAGGGGGCCCTGGATGCCTCGATCTTTGTGATTCATCTGCCTGACTGCCTGCGAGTAACTAAGCTTATTCTTCTTCAAGGCCAGTATTTCGGGTAGAGATTATGGCCGTGCGGCTTTCTAGGTATCTCAGAAGATGATGGCAATCACAGATACAAAATCACAATCATGACGGAGATCAATCGGTTTGAAATTTCCGCGACTGTTTACGCCATTCTCTATGTTTGGCATAAGTCATCTAGTTGAACAACAGAAGCCTCATCTCGGCCCGGGCACTACACTAACTCTACTTTCTTTATCATCATTGTGATCCTGGCCACCGATTACGTTTCTGCCACGTCTCTACTAGACTGGTTGTCCTCTTCAATTGTTCATGTTCCTATCTCTTTCCCGACACTCCGCTTCTGCCTCTCGTGCCTAAAAGCGAGACATTCATCCCTCATCTTGTGCTCAAAAGCCCAATGGTCAATGAGATGGGCGTTCATTATCAACAACTTGGCCCCCTTCTGTACCTTGAAGTCCTTGCTGGGCTCGCTTTTGACTGCGTGGGGAAAGGTTAGCCTCTGAATACAACATATAAGACGCAGGAACTAATAGCTCACTCTCTTCGCCGATACATATACCACATGAAAGTTACGCTGATGATCGCAAGGCCCCCGAACAATATGAGAATCTGATATCCATACTTGTATTTTGGAGCATCGTATGTAGGAAACAAGACCACTGCAATATGTTCAGCACTGTGTCTTATTATTTGCATGCAGTAGTAGATGGAAACTTACAAGGCACCCAAAGCACGAAGGCGTAAGAAACTACGTTGGCCGTGGCAACCAAAAGTTGTCGGATGCTGGGGTCACCGGCGTTGAGTCTGTTGGCCCAGCTCTGTGATATGTCAGTGTCAGGTTGGCAGTGATTCCAGGGACATACTCACAATGAGAACTGGCGTGGCAGCTGAGCCGGCGTATGACAGGTAGTATGCGAACATGAGAGCACCCTTGGGGATGGTCCAGACGGAGAGCAGGATGTTGGAGAGGATCATGAAAGCCTGTACAATGACAATCATCACATAGTTCTTCCCTGTGCGGTCGGCGATAATGCCCCAGATCACGGTCACGACGATGTTCAGAGCGCTTCCACCGGTCGGATAGATATTCGCATCCACAACCGAGTAGCCCGCCGACTTCAGCCAAAGGTTGAAGTAGCTCGTTGCCGAATGACAGGCCGCGACCATACTAGACCGTCACTGTTAGCTTTAGAAATGGCAGTCTGCGTTGGCGGCAACCTACGTGTATGGCACAACAAAGACCCAGATCTCCCAGCCAAGATAGATGCGCTTGGCTTCCTTCCATGTCAGCTTTTCTTGGGCCTTTTGGCCGAACCGCTCGATTCTTTCTACACCGTATTTGATATGCTGCAGTTCCGTTAGCATTGGACAGACAGCCAGGATGAAGTTCAATTGAGGAAGATGTACCTCAGCTGACCAGTAGAAGGCTTTGGTGTTGTGTGGCAGATCAGGCAGTCCAAAGAATCCCCAGATGGCGATCGGAAGCGAGATGATGGCATCCATGATGAACAGCCACCTCCACCCTGCCAGACCATGACGACCGTTCATGCTGGTATACAGCCCCGCCTGTAGATACCCGCTGAACATACTCGCGATAGACTCGACCTGCAGCAGAATGGCCAGCCGCTTCGTCAGCTCCTTCGGCCCGTACCAGCCCCCGAGCATGGAGATGTAGCCCGGGAAGGCGCACGCCTCGAAGAGCCCGATGAAGAACCGCAGGGCGTACATGGTCTGGATGTTCTTGGCGAAGCCCATGCCGATGACGAGCAGCGACCAGACGACCTCGCACGTCGGGATCAGGACGGAGGAGCGCACGAAGCTGAGCTGGGTCATCTGGGCGGGCACGCTGCCGACCATGATGCCGAGGCTGAACCAGGTGTTCAACCAGTTGCGCTCGTTACCGTAGAGACCGAGGTCTTGTTGCATGCCGCTGACGAAGGCATTGCCTGGCAGGCCGTTAGCGGGAGTTGTTCAACTGGGGGAGGCTCACTCACTGTAGTTCGTTTGGTCGAGGTACTTGATGAAGTAACCAAAACAGACTGTAGGACTGCGTATGCGTTAGGCAAAGCGGTGATGAGAGGTCGGGACCGATGGAACTTACAAGAAGAAGAGGTCCAGTCTTTGGACGTACGCGCGGTACTCCGGGTCTCCTTCGACGGAATCCCAGACATATCCGAGTATCTTTCTCCACCACGAAGAGGTTTTCACATCGCCGGAAGGGGTCTCCGTAATGCTCAATGGCCTCGTCTCTTTGGAGTTCTTGTCCAGGTCAGACGTTGTTTCCGACACAGCCACAGGGGCGATGGCCTTCGAATCAGACATTGCAGCCAATAGCAAGAGATCGAATCCAGCCTAAATGCACTCAACAGTCTCCAGTCACCTCTGATGTGCAGCTGCAGGTCGGAGCTCCGTTCAGCCCAGATCGCTATATACTTTGGCACCTGCGAGCGCAACGATTTTTCCCGACCATGCTAACCACTTTCATAGAAACTAGATATTGAGCCGACATGGGCTTTTCCATCGTCCGAGTCCTGATTTGCTGCTCCCAAATGGTGTCATCGTGTTCCTTGCGAGCCAAAATCGTCGAATCCTTCTGCCCCATCTCCAGGGCCGCCGTCGATGCTGCAAGTGGATAAGGGGGCTGGACCTGCCACTGTCTCTCGAATTTGCCTGATGACTTTAGCTCGAAGAGGAGTCCGGCAGGCATTGAAGACTGCCGCTGTCGGACGATAGCGACTGCATATGCGGCTCGACTCCGACATGTCGTGATAGGTGCCCCGCAATGTCGTTATCTCGCTCCGCTCTGTCGCCTTGCTAACCCCGGCTTGTTATGCCGGTGCCGACTCCGGATAGTTGCTGTGTTTGCAGAATTTCGGTACTTTTTCTCCGGTATGTGTTTGTAAATATTCTTCATGTTTTCAAGAACCGGGTTGAACCAGGCAATGGGTAGGAGGACGTCCAGAGTCTCTGCGGTGTCGGCGAGCGTAACCTGAAGTCAGGATTGCAATCCTATGCAAGTGCGCATTTAGATCTGATCTCGGCTTCTACAGCTCATGTGGACAAAATCCTCCGGTGCTACAAAGACACGTCCCCAGTGATGTAGCATGCGTCGGCCACTTGCCCGGCCGGCTCTGCGCGGGGGCTGATCATCGCCGCGATCGCACATAAACCCCGTACGCCGCAGGACCATGCTCAAGATACCTTATCACTTTTTCTCAATCGTGTTGCTCCAGTAAGTTGTTAATCTCGGATTGAAATCTGCCGAAGCCTCCCACCGCATCTTGGTATTCATCCTGGGCTTCCACCCACCCTATTCCCGGCCAACCAATAATCCCAACCAAACCACCACAATGACGCCAGAAACCCTCCGCATATCCCTCGAAAACGTAGACTTCCGCCTGCCAACCCAAGTAACCGACGACGCCAGCGTCACCGCGCTCAAAAGCCTCGTCTTCGAGCCGCTCCTCCGCTGGCACCCCCACGGCAAGATCCAGCCCGGCCTCTTCGACCGCTGGGCGCACTCCGACGATAGGCGCACTTGGGACTTCCACATCCGCGACGGCGCCGTCTTCCACGACGGGAAACCGTGCACCTCCGAAGATGTCGTGAGCTACATCCTCGGGCTGCTGGACTCGCGCGACTACTTCGGCATGCGCTGGAGCTACAGCCGCTACTTTGCTCGCGCGACGCTCTCGGCGCCTGACGCGCGGACGGTGAGGGTTGAAAACCCGGAGGTGTTTGCGCAGGTGCTTGACATCTTTTGCGAGTTCTGGCCGGTGAGGGTGGATGGGGATGGGAAGCCGGTGCTTGGGACGGGGCCGTTTCGCGTGGTGGAGTTTGAGCGGGAGGATGGAGTGGGAAGGGCGAGGTTGCAAAGGGTGAGCCCGTCGAGGCATGGGACTCCGCATGTGATTGTTGCGACACAGGATGGGAATGCGGCGAAGAGGTTGCAGCAGCTGCGCGATGGGGAAGTGGATGCGGCGCTGAATTTGGAAAGGGTCGAGGACCTTGGCCTACTGGACTTTGGAGCATCGCTACGATGGGGCAGGGTTACGAGTACGCTTTCTGCGATATACTACCTCAACTGCACCGAGGGCATCTTCCGCTCTGCGAAGGCACGGTTGGCGGTCAATCTTGCAGTGGACAACGATGCTCTGGTGAAGGAGGTGTATAAGGGCTTCGCACTTCCGTCGGCTACTATTGTGAGCCCTTTCCACCTTGGCTTCCGGGAATCACAGCTGCAGCCTATCCCCTTCGACCCAGAGCGTGCGAGGGAGCTGCTCAAGGACCTAGACCCGACAGAGTCGCTCATTCTGAGGACTCCGACATACATGCCGGAGCACGCGCAGAAGATCTCCAGCTTCGTCGCCAGGTCCTTGAAAGCGATCGGGTTTGCCGTTGAGGTTAGAGTTGAGACCAACCGGCCAGAATACGCTAGACAGATTGGGCTTCAAAAGCAGATTGGAGACTTGGCGCTGTTTGATTCAACACCCAACAGCACGTTCAGGGTACTGGACGACAAGGTATCGAGCTCGTCTCACGCCACTTGGTGGCTAGGTTTCCATGACGATGACGTTCAGGATTTGTTCCAGACGGCACGGAGTAAGATCACAAGAGAGGATAGGGCAGAGGCTTACTCGGCCTGTCTGAAGAGGCTCCATGAGAATCCGCCGTGGCTGTATATTGCGCATCCGGAGGTGGTCTGGGCGACGAGGCATGACACTTCATTGAGAATTGGCCACTCGGGCATACTCACGCTGGAGGATTGACCCTTCTTAACCTTGCAT